GATAAACATCGATGTGTCTAAAATAACGTTACTTCCAGTAGTTGCTACTGACTTTTCACTGTTCAATGAAGTGCTAAAATAATGTACGGCACCCCCACCTATCACTTTTACTTGAAATTGAACAGATATCATAATGCTGAAACCGTGGTAACAAAATTTCTGTCAAATTACACATATTTGCATCCTAACTGCTCAGTGGAGTGAAATCAGTGTACTGATGAGCCTAGGGTGGCTAAATGCCGTTGGGACTGGAATGTTTGAATTGAGTAATGGCAGATCCCCAAGTGTTGATCATTTTGAAAACAGTGCCACTCAGTTCATAAACTATGCATACCTGCTGGCGTGTTGCCAAAGCATATACATATAATCTGCTGTGCGGATATTTTAAAGAAGTTAGACTAGCGAAGGTTTCAGTGAAGGCGGAAGGCGTTTTGTTCGAATGACTCAAAATGTACCAAACTTCAGAAAAACTTATACTTGATGAACTTTACGATCCAAGAGACCTTATCCTCACCGGGCCTTGCTATTTTGAAAACGCTGAGCTCCTTTTCTGTCTGTTGGGATATTGAATCGTTTATTCTGGTTTACCGATGGAGTGCTGTTTTAAGCATTCCTAGTGAAATAAGAATTTGATTGTGTCTGAAAATCTGTGCGTATTAACATTTAGAAGAACAAACTATTATTCTGAAGGTTATAATATTCAAGGCATCTGCTTGAAGCATTTATGGCTAGAAGGGATTTTAACGCGAATGGAAACAGGTCGGCTCCAAATAGTTCAAGAAATACTACCTTCTACCAAGAACCTACCAACAGTTACGATTAGGTTGTCACGTTGAATACATGATTTTACAACGCAACCATATCTGCATCAAGAATCGAAAACGACTTTCGAAGTTTTTGACCTCATGTTGGATATTCTGTGGTCAGGTAATGCGTGCTCAGTCAAGCAGCAAAGTGGCCGAACTAGCTTTAGATACCTGTTGGTGTGGAGCAGGGATTGATAATTCCACTGAGTTTATCTTAGTCTTCTAAAATATCTTTTCATCGATCAGTCATTATTCTTGCACTGGTAACTTCAAAGGAAACAGTGTCGCTCTTGAGATAAGGACTAGTGTCCTCACCAGCCAAGGAGATGTTTTCGTTTGCCACCACTCGGATTCACAGGCACGACATTTTTACCATGTTTTACCACGTGCAATTAGTGTGCAGTCGCTTGCGAATATGTTCCTGTCGAGTTAAAACCATTTCTCTGCAAACAAAACGTGCTTGTGTACGCTTTGGATAATTCGCTTTTGGTCCCATATCATTTCTCGACCGGTTTCAGCCTTTATTCTGTTTTCTGCTTCTGGTTTCCAATACCAAGGGATAGTTATGGTGCGCCAAAATTGTCATGCATATTGCCGATCTGTTTGTCGTACGGTGAGACGATTGGCGAACAGGTGATAAAGCACTGTGGTTACGCACAGAAAATTGTGGAATCCTTTCCTTTCACGGTGTTTTACATGCTACTTGGCCCTTTAGCAACAGTTTCTTGACGGCGCGAGAGGGCGGCTGAGGTGGGTCGTAACCATGAGAACTGGGAAGAATTAGAAGCCATATTTTTGTCCGTTTCATTTTAGTTATTCCGTGCCCTTACTCTGAACAAATTGTAAGCTACAGAGATTAAGACAGGAACCCTGCATTACTTCTGGAGGATAAATTACAGTATTGGTCAGACTTATCGGAAAGAACCTTAGCTTCTTGAGAGTATGGCCTGAAACTTCCCACAAAGATGCATCCCTAATCCAGTTACCCTAAAGTTTACGGAGGTATAAATTTTATTTTGGATTTGAAACATCGCCTTATGATTGTTTTTCGCAAAATTGACTGGGAACAATTTCTAAAAGTACCCCTGTCGTTGCCCTCCTTACCCTATAAAAAAGCCGAAATTTTAAATTTCATATCTTTTGAAAGTCATGTGTGGGCAAGTAGGCTGTACAGTCGAAGTGAGTAACCAGACTGAGTTCTCGATCTAATGACCGCCGATCAATCTTAACTAAGCCATGCTCGGCTGATTTAGGATACTTCCTGCAATCGCATTTTCTGTCCAGTGTGTGGACTGTAGCTGTGAAATTGTTTGGCGACCAGGTTGATGTCATAGTTTGCGAAAGGCACAGCCTTGGAATACCTGGCAAGGGGCCTCCAGTAACCCAACAGTGCACGTGATAGCTACACAGTGTGGCCCACGATTTATGTCTGCCTACATTTACAGTCGGCTAGTGCCGGAGATACATGATTTTATACACTCTGATGTATGATGGCTGTTTATAGCAAGGAATGAACACCATTCGGGACTTCTGCCACTCCACTCTCTTCATGCTGACTGGCCACACGAATTGGTGTTGGGCGCAAGAGGCACGGAGGTGCTGCATTTCAGGTCGTGGCTGGAGGACCTAGGATTCTGGAACCTGTTTGCGTGAAAACCTGGGTGCGTGGAGGACAGACCCGAAGTTTCGAAGTTTTCATATGTGATCCTGGCAGACGTATGGATCAAATACCTTTTCGCTGTATTTGCGAAATGTCCACAAGCGCAGGACCAAAGGAAGGTGACCGTCAGGCAACTGGGTAAGGGTGCACGTTTTTGTCGTGCTCTGCCAATTTACCTAGATGCTTGAGCCAAGGAACTTGGGGATTAGGGGGTGTTGTGAAGTGACGTGACAGTGTACCGAATGGCGTGGATGGTCTCTTATGCAGCTTTAGCTAGGTAGGTCCGTTGAGACTATGTAGATCACCACTGATGTCGAATGTGTCTGAACTGTAGGTTCGTTATCTCTGGGAGTCATTCGTCGCTGCAGCTCAACTCTAGATAGAACATAAATGACTGTCCTAAGGAAAAACTAAGGAAGTGACTACGTTATCACATGTCGAACAGTGGATTAGGATGCGTCAGAGGACGTCTGAGTTATGCAGACAATTCCCAGACGAACGTTTGCTAGGCGAAGTACTCTCAGGAACTGTCCTCCTGTGATCTTGGCGTAAGCAGGTATCGACCACCAATTATTCTTGCTTGTAGAACAGCTGGTAGTGCCAGACCAAGAAAAAACACCACAGAAAGGCTAGGTGGAACAATATATTTGGAAGACCGTGAAGGGATACCGATGCATTCCGACTAGCTGGTTAAAGGGTAGCAGACGAGTAACGCAACGTAACGCGACAGTATGTCGAATAGCGAAACTGCATAACCGTTTTCCTCCAGCTTGTTAGATCGTCAAAACAGTGATGGCCAGGATGAGTGTCAAATCTTGTCACATCCTCGGCCACTGATTTGAGGGAATGATGTTAGTTTTATGCCTAACAATTGATTTCCGGAACCCTATTCCACTGGAATTCATATTCTAGTCCTTACGTAACTCGTTCACATGGTAATTGGACAATTGTGGTCTTCTGCTTGCAGAGAATAAGCGTCTCTCGTGAACTTTTTTCTTCTGTCGCACCCTGGTATCCAGAACACAATGGATCCACCTGCGTCGGACAATGTAAGCAGCAGGAGATCACACGAAGTGTGAATCCCATATGGTTCTCTACGCCGAAGATGTAAAATTCTCGAGGGGAGCTAGGGATTGCGAGGATATACGTGATCCTCCGGCAGATCTAAACAGCTATTTACCTGGTCAGAGAAGTGGCTGATACCTATCAACGCAGGTAAATGTGTGACAATGCACACAGCGCACACGCAGCAACACCTACGATATTGATGGGAATCCTCTACCGTCAGCACCCACCAGCAATGACATAAGAGTCACAGTAAGTTACGATTTAAAGACCGTAGCACTGTTGACCCATAGCACCTCAGAGTTTTAGAACGTTTCGGGCACTGCACAGAACGCTTACGAAAATAAGTGGTGATATGTTCACCATCTTAAACACATCCTGATTCAGGTTTGAACTAGAAAACTGTAGTCAGCAAACCCTCATCCGAAAGGTGACTCAGACTTCATGGAAAGAATTCGGAGGAAAACCGCTTGTATGATCTCTGCGGTGGCTTGCCTGACATACGAAGATCGACTGAAGGAGCCTTTAGGAATTTGTCCTGGTGCGAACTTGACAAACGCAAAGACCAATCATTAATTATTCGGGCTTGTTATATACCCACGAATACGAGACCAAGGAAGAACACGATAGCGTAGTCGCATAGAATAGTATATTTGGATGGTTGTACCAAAATACCGATGCGTTCCAACTAACTGGCTAGAGAGTCGAATACGAGCAGTGCAACGTAACACGAAAGCGTGCCAAATGGCGAGGATGCTTGACCGGGTGCCTTCAGCTTAGCGAGCCCAGTTAAACTATCAAGGTCAGCACCAATGTCGAAAGTCTTCAAACCCTAGGCTATTGATTTTGGGGAAGTGTGTGACGCTACAAGCCGAACCACTTCCTTTATTCTATCGCAGACAAAGGGGAGATCTAATCATACTAACCAGGACTCTGGGAAATAAATTTGCACGTGACATATCTTCTCCTTCCCTTTCCACTGGGTGGGAACACGTCAGAGGACATAGCAGGAGAATAAAAAGCAATGAACGAACATAGTCTCCGTAGAGTGCTGGTTCTCGCGTCGAGTAATCAACTCTTGGAACCAACTCCAAGAAGAAGTGGTGTTCACATCATCAACTGAATCTTTCAAAAGAGGATTGGACAGGCATAGGAATATACTGAGGAAGGATTAATATAGACTCAGCCTGTTATACTCAGACAACAAATCTAGATTGGAATATTGCTTTGAAGAAATGGCCCTACAACTCGGTACCACTAGCAAGCAGATAGACTGTTTTATATAGTTACAACTAAACAAACTAAACTTCAAAAAAACAACCTTCATTGTTACTCATTGAAGGCAAAAGTGACTAATTAGGTTTTAAGTCATCGTATAACATCGTGGACGACAGTTCATTGAAATAACTGTAGAAGTAATTTCTAGTGTTTGTGGCGAATGAAACTGTGGGACATTTTAGTCCTTTGTCACTTCTTTCGACCTTGAACTGTCGACCTTCATATATGCCTAATACTTCCCATGTACCAGTTGCGGACACCAGGATTTTTACCATCTGCATTGTTGGCCTTCCGAAATCTGGAAAGTCATGCGTTTGCAGTAGGTTTGTTTTTCGTCATCCGGATCTGTATAACAAAGAGCAGCATCATGTTATCAGCACTTCTGGTTTGGGAAGTAGTGAAGATGCATATGGAGACCATTGGCTGTACTGGGGATGTGTGTGCAGGCGGATCGATGAAAATATTGTAAAATTTCGGATTATTGAACATACAAAAGTTTTGGATAACTTACCTTACTTCTCATCCATGTATCTCAGGAGTGACGATGGTCATGACCAGCTGCTTGAGTATGTTCACAGATCTACCGATGTTCGCTTGCTATCTAAGAACCAGCTGACTTACATTCGCAAAAAAGGAATACATGAAAAAGATTTGATCATCGATGAATATTCTCTTTCTGATGAAATCACTATTGATGGTTTTATCTTAGTATGTGATGTAAACACGTATTTGAGTTCTGAATGTACAGATGCTGGCTACTTACAACACGGCAACTGTTTACAGGAGTTTCTTACTTATCTGTCAAGAATCCGGCGGCCCTCTGTCACTGTACTGTCCAAGCTGGATAGTTGTGATACTTCGAAACATGTAGGGTTAGAGTTCCTCCGCAAGTCAAATGAATTCAAGAAAATTCCTGTTATTGAAACTTCGGCACACAAAAACATAAATATAGAGGAAGCATTTCTGTCACTCTACAAGTTGATGGAATGCAAGAATCGCATCAACAATTTTAAGTGTATGTCATATGTGGAAGCCATTTCTAAAAGAAATCAAGAGGTTCGGTCTGCTACTCAATCATTTATTCGGCTGATGTTCGTATCTGTTCCTGAGTTTTTAACTGACTGGGAGTCATTTATGGCGAGATACAGCCACCATACTGATGTTGTGAACTACATTGGTCTCGTTGGTTCTTCAGGTGCGAGGCATAAATTTGAAACTGTAGTTCAAGAACGTCTGAAAACAACGAAGCTCCACTCATTGAATAAGATACCTGGTCTTCTTATGCATCTGCTTCCAGATCTAGATGCTGTTAACGGTCTGTAAGTCTCCCCGTAGTTTGTTTCAGTCATTCGCTACGTTTTCTTATTCGTTTGGGAAATCATTGTTAAAGCAGGACATTCTCAATGGTTCATTAGCACATCACACTCCATTTGCAATTGTATTGTGCCTGTGTAACACAGATCCTTTTTGTTTTGAATCAGTTAAGCATCACCATGTATTTGTCATCCTTTTGTTAGGTATAAGCTTTTCGGAAATATCCCTTTTCACCTCAGTAATTCGCACTAAATATTTGTATAGGTTTTGGTTTCAACTCCGTCTTCTAGTTAAGTTCCAGCAGAGTGCACTCGAACCTTAATAAGCAATCGGATATCACGGCGGCGCCACAGATGGCGTAAGTTGGAAAACACTAACCGAGCCTCTTGTATCCGTACTGAGATTTCGTCGGCCACTGAGCCACCAGGATTGATCTTACTTCACAGGTAAGTGAAGTGTTCGACGCGCTCAACCGTTCCACTCTTTATTGTTAGCAGAGAGACTGCTAAAGACCATTCCTGAAGCGACAATTTGCATTTAGGTGGCGAGAAACACATCTCAGACATTCTCAAATTGCCGCTCAAGGTGTCCAGAAGACTCTGCATCTTCTCAGCGTCTTCACTTAGCAGGACTATGTCATCTGCGTATTCTGGGTTTACTGAAAATTCTCCTGTGATTACCTCAATCCCTGCGTAGTTAGATGACAAGAGGAAGATCTATATAAGAACGTCCATGATAAAATTGAATAGGAATGAAGATTGGACATCCTTGACGGACACCGCTTGACGTACACAGCCCACCCAACATCTCGCCATAAACTTTAACACGCTCACAGGTGGTCGAGTAGAGCCTTCAATGAGGTGATGTATTTACTCGGTAGCCCTTCCAGTGAGGGACATTGCCATAAGACTTCTTGATCGATGGGGTCGGATGCCACCTTCAGGTCGAGAAATGGAATTAGTGTAGGGCAATGGTGAGCGTGCTTGTGTTCCAGAATCTGGTAGTGCGAATATTTGGTCGATGTGCCCACGGTCAGGTCTTAAGGCTCCCTGTTCCCCTAAGGTTTCCTGTTTCCAAGTTTATTCAGGCATCCAATGATTTTTGACATAGTATACACATCCCTTAATATCCAGTCGGATATTTCGCCAGCCGGTGTCAAAGTGATACAATTTACCAAATGTTGAACGAACCTTCTGTATCTGAGCTGAGGTTTCGTCAGCAAACACTCAGCTCGCGCTAATGCAACTCACCAAATAAGTGAAGTGGTAGACTTATTGCACCACTTCACTTCTTAACCTTAAATTAAAAGTTGCAGACCAGACCTGCAGGATCATTTTACGTTTCATAGGCACGAAACATACGACAAATGTACTCAGGTTTCGGTTGAAGGTATTTATAAGACCCTGAATTTTGTCAGTTTTTTCGCTTGACAAGATAATATCATCTGCGTACTCCAAGTCAAACACACATCCTTCTGGGGGGAAATCAATCACTGTGAAGTCAGACGCGACTAAGGTTATGTCCATTAATACATCTATAACAAAATTTGGTAGGAAGGGTAACAATGGACATTCCTGGCGGACACCTCTAGTTGTCATCACCTCAGATGACAACTCTCTGTAAGCCCTTACACGGCTGCATGAGTTCAAGTAGAAACGTGTATAAGCACTATATACTTGCTCGGTACTCCCTTCACAGTCAGACACTACCACAACACTCCTCAGTCGACAGAGTCAAATGACACCTTCAGGTAGAGAAATATGGCAAATGTTGGTCACCGCTCAGTTTGCCTGTGTTTCAGAATTTGTTGTAGGGCGAAAATCTGATCGACGCACCCTCGTTCATTTCTGAAACCTGCCTGGTTTTCTCGAGTTTGCTGTTCAGGAGTTCCAGTTAGGCGTCGAATAACTATGGACCTAAGGGTTTGAGACACGATGCTAATTAGACTGATCCGTCTATGGTTGTCACAAGAAGACTTCTTTCCCTTCACATAGACTGAAATGAGCAGTTAGGTACACCAGTCTGGTGAGAGTGCCTGATTCTCATACACTACGCAGTACCTCCGTTACTTTAATTAGCGATTTCCTACCTCTGTCCTTGAAAACTTCAGATGGATAAATGTCAGTTTCTGCTGCTTTGCACTGTTTCAGGTTACAAACAGCTTTCTCAACCTCAAGGAATTGGAGGACCAACACCCACGTCCCATTTAGGTTTAGGCTCGATGTTGGGCAACTAAAGCGTTGGTGAGGATGAGTTGAACTCCGCTTTAAAGTGTTCTGTCCAACATTCTAGCCACCTGTCCTGGGAGGTTATCAGCTTTCCATTCTATTCGGTAATGGTTTCACTAACCATCGTCTCCTTGCCGGTATCCTTAACAACCCTAAATAGTTGCTGGGTGTTGCCTAACGCTGATGCCTTTTCCATCTCTTGCTTTCGCCACCCACCACTACTTGCAATCAAAGTGAAGATTCTTGGTCAACTTACGTTTAAATTGCCTTCGCTCTTAGTAGTGGTTGTAGCCAGCTGGAATAAGCCTTCTCACATCAGTCAGTTCGGATGATGTTGTGGAAATTCAATGACGTTCTTGTACTTGGCGTCCTCATCTACCAACGGAGCTCAGCTTCCCTAGTTGAGCGTTAAAGTCACCTGCCATTATGATTATGCCTGAAAGTTTTGATTTCTGTTGCAAAATTGACAGTTTCTCATGGAATTCATCCTTTGCACCATCCAAACTGCAGTCAGTGGGTGCATAAGTGGAGATTATGAATAGGCATCGGTTGGTTACACGATCCTCCCTAGCCCTTACATGTTAACATGTTCTTAAAACAAAGAGATGATGCGTTATGGTGGTGTAGATCAGTCATAAATGGTTAGTGGTGATCCAAAATCACAGGACTTTATTCCGACTACATCTTCCGAAATACAGGCCAATTGTCATGGCATCAAAAAGGCCGTACGTAACCGGCCTTAAGCAGATGTCTCCTGGGCTCTGTGGTCACGCATTAACCCCTCTTTTCCAGGCGCCTCAAAAAGACTTGACCTTCCACGATGTAGGAAGCCGGGAAGTGTCAACCGCCCTCACAACTCTGTCAGCGCTCAAGTTCCCTCAGACCAATATCCACCTATCTCATCTTTCTAATCTTCACGTCCCTCGCTTAATATTCCTACGTCATCTTTAATTTCTTCTAGCTCTGAAGCTCTCGACAACAATGAGTTCATGAACAGCATCATCGATCTCATGAAACTATGCGTTAAACTACGTATCACAACTTCCAATATTTAAACCCTCCGTCAAATCTATCAACAAGCTTTGTTGACCGAAACTTTAGTAACTCAGGTCATGGATGCATGCTACGTTTGAGACACACATATAAGACCCAACTGCAGTTGTTCACTTAACCTCTCCACGCTAATATGCTGAATCCGTAAAATTCATCCTTTGAGTTTCTGGAGATTCTTGCAGTCTTGCAGGTGTAGACGTAGCACGAAGCAATAGGGCAGAAAGCTCACTGATAGACTGGATACTGGTTCACAGTCACCTATGAGCTGTCCATCTGAACGGCACAGTGAGAACTAAAAAGAAGAGTGTAAATCATCGTTGTCTGTTTGTAATCTCTGCTTACGCGCCCCTCTAACTGCAGTTCGGATGAAGTGAAGGATGACTTCTACTGAAAACTGTCTAGCCTCACTCTGAAAATCAAACGTTCGGATGTGGTTGTTGTTGCAGGTGATTTCAAGGCACAAGTGGGTAGGCTGAGTTAAGTAGAAAGGCACTTAAGTGGTACTTTCGGAATCCCGGCTGAACGAACAGATAAGTGATCGCCTACTACAACTGAGCTCAGATAACCGCTTATTTCCAGCTAGCCCAAACTTCAGACATAAAAAAAGACACTGTCTGACGTGGCGTTCACCGAGCTCAACTCAGGGATGGATACAGATAGACCACATTGCTATCAGTCATCGCTAAAGAGGGCCGGTGGAAGACTGCTGCTCCTTCTAGAACACGTGTTTGGATCGAGAGAGCGCGTTGGTTTAAGCCCGTACATGTCTGTCTCAATCGAAGTTAAAAAACTTAGGCAACGAGACTATTACGAGCGCAGTTCGACAAAAAGAGCACTAAGATCGCATTCAGTGCGAAACTGGCTAGGCAGTTATCCAAAAAGAACAATATCAATCGTCCACACCCGTTGAAGACCACACCCGAATTTTAAAGAGTGACTGAGAAGAGTCAGAGGATATCAGCAGCTTATTCTGAATTTATGGATGCACCCGAAACCATTCTCGCAGGCTCTGAGTAAAATGAAGAGCGAACGCAACTCAAATGTTGATTGATAAAACGCCTACCCAACGACTGCGAAGTGGTGGGCAGCGAACGCTATAGAGACAAAAAGGGCAGCGCCGATAGGTAACCGTAGACAAATTGTTAGACTTATTAGGGGAACTGTGGCGAAAAGGTCAACGGTTAGTGAAAAGGATGGGTCTGCGATTAACTTGTAGAGAAGAAGACTACAACGATGGGCAAAACACTTCGAGGAATAGTTTGACTGGCCTTCAGTTACTAATGCGTTGCTCCTTATTTAGTCAGGTCGCGAATGGAACATTGAGATACGGTCTCCAACACTTGCAGAAGTCGAGAAAGCTGTGGGAAACCTGGAATAAGCGAGAGGAGCATGGTCGGGCAGACTAGCTTCAAAAAAACTGAAGAATAGTGGTTGAAGATTATCAGTCAAATTAACTGAACTGTTAACCAGTGTGTGGGAATTACATGTAATCGCCTCTGACTGATCTTACCCACTGATTGTCGTAGTTTTCAAAACGTCGTAAGTCTTCATGTGATATCCACGGGTGAATCGATCTGACAAACATAGTGTCTAAGACTCTAGATCCTATAATCGCTGGGCGTCAGAGTGGAACTCAGGAACAAGAAACCCTAGGGGAACAGGGAGCCTTAAGACCTGACCGTGGGCACATCGACCAAATATTCGCACTACCAGATTCTGGAACACAAGCACGCTCACCATTGCCCTACACTAATTCCATTTCTCGACCTGAAGGTGGCATCCGACCCCATCGATCAAGAAGTCTTATGGCAATGTCCCTCACTGGAAGGGCTACCGAGTAAATACATCACCTCATTGAAGGCTCTACTCGACCACCTGTGAGCGTGTTAAAGTTTATGGCGAGATGTTGGGTGGGCTGTGTACGTCAAGCGGTGTCCGTCAAGGATGTCCAATCTTCATTCCTATTCAATTTTATCATGGACGTTCTTATATAGATCTTCCTCTCGTCATCTAACTACGCAGGGATTGAGGTAATCACAGGAGAATTTTCAGTAAACCCAGAATACGCAGATGACATAGTCCTGCTAAGTGAAGACGCTGAGAAGATGCAGAGTCTTCTGGACACCTTGAGCGGCAATTTGAGAATGTCTGAGATGTGTTTCTCGCCACCTAAATGCAAATTGTCGCTTCAGGAATGGTCTTTAGCAGTCTCTCTGCTAACAATAAAGAGTGGAACGGTTGAGCGCGTCGAACACTTCACTTACCTGTGAAGTAAGATCAATCCTGGTGGCTCAGTGGCCGACGAAATCTCAGTACGGATACAAGAGGCTCGGTTAGTGTTTTCCAACTTACGCCATCTGTGGCGCCGCCGTGATATCCGATTGCTTATTAAGGGTTGAGTGTACTTTGCTGCAATTCGCTCTGTTCTGCTGTGTGGCTGTGAAACACGGCCATTAAATGTAGAACGTAGGAGAAGGCTTGAAGTGTTTGACCATGGTTCACTTCGTAACACAGGCCTTGTTTCGTGGTGTTACGACGTGAGTGACGCAAAAGTCAGACGTAGAGTTTTCGGGAGGAGAGGCAAGGTTTATGATGCGGTTGTGAACCTTCATTAGCTGAGATGGCTGTGACATGTGTTACATATGTCTAGCCACCGTCTGCCTCGTTGTACAATGTTGGCCGAAGTAGGTTCAGACTAGAAAAGGACTCCGGCTGGCCAGACTAAAACACGGCATCAATGCATGAAGTCCTTGACTGTTCGTTTGAGCCATGTAGCGCTATGCAGACTAACCAGTTGGGGTCCGCAGGACAAGAGAAATTAGTAGTGGGAGACTCTAGGTGATATGGCTGAGAACCGATATGTGGCGCAGATGTATACACACATTATCGTCATCTTATCCCATTCGTCCCCCTCTCTTTTACTACTTTCTACTTCTGCTTCCTTCGACCGAATTTTATTTCTCCCTTCGCCTTCCATTTTATTGCCTTATTACGCGATGTGCTGGTGTGAGGTGTGGCAAGTTGAACCGTAACACCGCAATGCCTGGTCCTTTATTGATCTTGATGATGAGGATACTGCTGTGCAGTCCGGTCTGTTCTGGTTTACCCTATTGAGACATGGCCGTCCACAGATTTGAAGAGGCTGCCGATTTCGTTCCATGAATGTCTTATCATTGCTGGGGTTTTGTGTAATCACTGTGTGACTAATATTGAGGTTAGGCGAAGGGTACTAGGCGGTGAAATGTCGGTCGACGTCGCTGTGCACCTTCAGGGACATGTAGCATTTGGTGTACTTCCGTTTACCTTGACCTGAAATGATAGACTGACAGATGAATAGATAAAAGCAACTTAGAGCGTCACGCACATGTGCAACTCCTCAACTGACCACACTTCATGCCAGTGTCCAAAAAACAAATGGAAAGGAGCGACTGACATCAAAGTAGACGTAAGTGTATTTAAAAATTAAGGTTGATCAAAAATTCGGGCCTTAGGAGAAAGTCAAGAATAAATGCATCTGCGCCATTATCATCTATTTTCAGCCATTTCACCAAGAGTTCTCAGCCACTGATTCCTATCGTCTTGATACCCCTTACAGATCGTCTACACCTTAGGTCAACAGCCAGGGACTTCATGGACTTGTACCACGTCTTTGTCTGGCCACCCTTAACCCTCTACCAACATAATCCATTTCGCCACAGCATTGCACGTCGAGTTAGGTGGTGACTTGGCATGCGTAGTGCATTTCCAATCCATCTCAATCAATAAAGGTTCACAACTTCATTGACTGACATCCTTTCTCCACCTAGATTTCTTTGCCTGACATCAGTATGTCTCATAGAGGGATTCCACCATGCAAAAGCAATGTTACGAAGACAACTGTGATCAAAACTTTCCAACCGCTTCATGTCTTCTACTTTCAATGGCCATGTCAAACGTACAAAAGCACAGAATGGACTGCAGCGCATTATGCGCATCCTTTGATAGATAGTCGGTTATCTCGCCAGTTGGCGCCACAGATGATGCAAGTTTTCAAATGCCAATTAGGCCTTCTGTATTCGAGCTAAGATTTCGTCAGTAACCAGCTTGTTCGGACTGATGCAACTCCCTGAGCAAGTGAAATGGTGGACACACCACCTCACTTCTGATGATTAAAAACTAGGAATACTTGCAGATTGATTTTGGAGCATCAGCTTACGTGTGGCATGTGCTTTGCACCTGTCAAACATACTCAGATTTTCGCTCAAGGTGTTGAGAGTACCATGTATTTTTTCAGTGTATTCACTTGGCAGGACATAGTCGTCTACATACTTCGATTCAACTTGATGCCCTCCAGAGTGTAGGTCAATCACTGTGGCGTCAGATGTACCCAAGATTATGTCCATTAATACATCTTTATCGAAACTAAATAGAAACGTTGACAGCTTGTATCCTTGACAGACACCCGTAGTTGTAGTTAGTTCAGGTGATAACTCTATAGGTCATCACAGGGCTGTGCGAGTTCGCGTGGACAGCTTGGATTAATATTACACAATTTCTCGGTATACCATTAACAGTTGGACTGCCACAACATCTTACGGCCGAGAGGGACGAGTTCCCCTTAAGGTCTAAAAATATTGCACGTATTGGCCGTCGCTCACAATGCCTGTATTCTAGAACTTGTCGAAAGGTGAAAATCTGATAGTCCAGGTGTGAATTCCACTTGGTCCTCTCAAGTTTGTTGTTCTCAAGATCCAGTCAGGAGTCTAATAACTATGAACGAAAAAGTATTGGACACGATTATGGTGAACTGATTCTCCTATGGCTGTCACAAGAAGACTTTTTATAGACTGGAATGCTAGATTTTGGATTAGTTGCAGACTGAGTAGTTAGCACCCTCAAGACGACGGGAATCAATGGTTGGAGACTCTTGGTAATGTGTCTGAAATTTAGTCACGATGGTGCAGATGTATTCACACGTTAGCGTCTTCTGTAGCTTGAATATTTTTACTTACCTTCATCTTCAAATTGTTTCTCCTCCCGTTCATTTTGGTCTACTTTGATGTCAGTATTTTTCTATGCAGTTGTTCATTGCATGTTGGTCTGAAGTGTGGTAAGTTGGACTGATGCACTTGTGTGCGAGGTTTCGCGTTTACGTTGCCTGTGTTTGTTGCTGTGGGGACCGGGATACCGCACAGTCGGGAAGTGTAATTTTTTGGATTTGGATTTTTAACTTTGATTACCGATGTCAAGACTGTATCAGTTTGGCACTACTGGTGATGCATGGGAAGCACTTGGTTGCTATCACCCGCCATCCTGCCAGCAGTATGGCGTGGCTCTGGGACCTCCCAATATAGCGTAAGATGTTCTCACTATTATGACAACTGCTTTTTATCTTACCACCATCTAAAAAACTTTTCTGTTATTATGGAACCCCATGGAGCAATTGTTCCAAGCAGCATAACTCTTTGGTTCATTGTTATATGCAAGTTCGACCACCATGTTAGGATGCATCTACCTGTCCTGGAATGTTTCCGTGGTTTTATGTTAGGTTTATACTGCAGTAGGCACATTGTTACAACTCATTTATAATGTATGTGTTCTTGTGTTGAAGGATGAGGCAAACTCGTAGGCAAATGAGATTCAAACTTGTGGCTTACCGATTAGACGTAGTTTTAATGAATCATAGCAGATAAGAAGCTTGAAATTCACTGTGTATAATGAGGATGATTAACTGGGATATTTAGTTTTCATGGGTTTTCAGAACATGAAAAGAATGAGTTTTTGTACATGCTTCGTTAGACGCATTGCAATATTTACCATACTCTATTTGTCAATGTCGGAAGTAGTGAGTATTTGGATTTCGTTCAGCTGAATGTTATTGACTTTTTACAGTGGCAATAATGTTTTAAATTTCAGGTCTTATTTACAGGTGAAATTTACTGAAGTGTCATTGTATTACTTAGGGATAGTTTTAGCATAGTGGCACAAAGTGCACTGATAAAATGGTTAATAACTTAAGAAAATTTTTTTTCAAACGTAACAAGTTATTTTATTGCTACTTGTTTCATCTGCACTACCTAAGATGTTCATATCCATTTATATTTTTATCAGTTCATTTGAACAGATTGTATCACATATTCGTCATCATGAGGACTTTTCGTTATACTTTCAAGATGATGTTTACTACGACTCTGGAAATAGTATCAGCTTGAATTACTATCATCCTTTACGGGATGACACTCGTGTGCCCTTTCATTTAGCTATTGAACCAACGTTTGGATCCGAAAACTGCCCATTGAAAGAGCACGTTGATCGTTTGACAACCACTAGACGTCATCATACGGAAAAGGCTTTGTTGGAGACTTCTCTTCATCGTGGATTTCGAAAATGTCCCGTCAACACTTATGATGAAAACAGTTTGGTAAAGAATATGGGAATCATATTACCAGGTCAACCTTTATCAGATGTGAAGTCAAATATTGGTTCACTTGACTTGCCTGAGCTCACAAAAGAGGAAATATCCATGGTTGGTTGGTTAGGTGATATTTTGATACATTTTATTTCGAATTTACTACAAACTTCCTGTAAAATAGTTTTTGCAATAGCGGAGAAATTTGTATCTTAGTATAACTATAGAAATTATTTGGTGTTCTGCTAATCTTAATGCTTTTTTTAAACATTTCATCGCCAAGATGGGTGACTTTACTAACACTTTATACTAGGTACATCATTTTCAGGTTACTTACCAACCTTAAGAGTTATTCAATCGCAAATATTGTTTTCCTATTACATATAGACCATTCTGACATTTATTCTCAGGTCAAACTAAGGGAATAAAATATTGCTAGTATAGCTATTTGATATTTGCTACTTATGTAGTGTTTGGGTATCAATTTGTCTGGTTGATTTTCGTGTATTACATCCATATCCATAATATGCCTACTGATTATCATTTCATTGGAGTGCCATACTTTTAAAAATTCTTTTATTTTTCGAACGTGTGCGATGAAGCATTTCCACGATGCCTTAATCTAGTTTGCGTTTATGCTTGTTTACATACATTGAGTTCAGTAGTGATGTCATATTATGTTCCCTTCTGGCTGATACTCATAAATTCTGTAAGTTATTCGATGTCAGGACTGAACAATGTAGGGTTTTTGTTAGTCGTTGGAACTAGTTTGTAGGTTTTGTTTATTGTTTTCTCTAGGCAATGGTTCTTTCGGTTCGTACAGCTAATTATGCTACCAAACAGTCGATTGACGGTTTCTGATGCATGATTTAGTTTCGTTTTGTTTTGTAATTGTAGTGCTCTATGTTCTGTTGGCAGGAAATTCTTGTTGAAAAACTTTTTAAAGCTAGTTTTCTTCCAACTTCCATAGTTGTCCACTGCTTTTGTGGTTCCTTAAGTGTGCGAATAGTGCTTGTACAAAAATCTTTTCGTGAAGTGTTGGGTTGCAGGTATTATTTCAAAATTTGATCTGTTTGTATCGCCTGCTTTACGTTTGAGTTTGTAAAATCCCATCTTGTGTTCCGATAAAGACGTTTAGAAACATAACTCCATCATCTTGTTCTATTGCACTGAATACCTTCAGAAGTTTGTCTAGACGTGTTTTCGAACCAACTTATTTTGAAAATTACAAAAGTGTTAACCCAACACATCTAAATTATGGGTTTAATTATTGATATGACTACTGGTTTCAGCCCCTGTTTCACTGCTTCAACGATCGGTTCCTGTTGAACTAAATGTAGATTGAGACACAAGCTGACTGGTCTTACTAATTTTTGATTGTTAATTTCCGCATACTTTCGACTATTTGGTTTGTTGTTGCAAAGAATATTCACTTCTTCTGTGATGATCTTGGTTGGTTTACGTAAAAGGTGTAGTGGTATCAGTGGATAGCATTTTCGATTGCTGTTCATCTTTCATTTTGTCTAGTACCTAATTTCGTGAATTGCCTAATCATTGACTCTCATCGGCAACGTGTTTCGGGTCTATGTATTATTCTTCAAATGAATTGATTGACTGTCTTCTAGATGGTGACACAGTTGGTTGCAATGGAATGTTTTCGGAGACATGACTCATTCACTTAAGTACTCGACTTTAAAGCAATGGACTGAGGGTTCAGATTCAAGCCTACTTGAAGCGTGGTCGACCAGGTGGCATAGTAAACCGTCACACAAGTGTGGCTCATAGCCTAGTACCTGTGTATGTACCAGATTGAGTTGCATTACTAGTTTACCTAAGTGGAATATGTTTTTGGAACATCTGTATTTCCAGTTAACCGTCGAGTCATCGTAGTTTTAGACTATTTGTCTTGATTTCCCATTATTCTTCCCTCATGATTTGACTGATTTTCACCGAATTGAATTTAGTTGTTTAGTTTTTGATCGAATTTTTATTTGTTGGTTGATTATTACTTTTGTAGTTAAGTACCTGGGCCTTTCTCAAGTAATCTGCTTTATCCCTGATCATAGTTTTCATTCTGCTGTTACTACCATAGTCTTATTGTCTGACATTAGTGAATTCAATAGTTTTTTGTCCGTGTTGAGTTCGGACTGTTTTTCCTCTAACTGATGTAATTCTTTCTTGTTTTTCGGTTATCATTCATATATATCTGGATCAAGATCTAAACACTGCAGAAAAATTCCACAAATATAGACTCTTAGTATTATAGTTTAATCTATTACGAAGTCAATTCTAGTCTGTAGGGGATAATTTATAATTTGTAGCAGGTTTTTCACCCTGAAAAAGAAAATCTGTCGTTCTACTTTATCATCTGGTTTTTCCCAAGTGCATGTGATGATAACAGTACATGTGATTCAGTTACACACAACGTTTTTTTTCCAACGCTCAGTCGCAGTTTGCATTCTTTGTCAGACTTATTTTCCATTTTTATGTTTCTAAATCAGACAGTAACAAAAAACATTTTACTAATTATCCATTTTATCAGATAATTTAATGCATAACATTTTTAATCTTACCTCATTCATGACAAGTTGGTGGGCATTTTCATCATCTAGAAAAGAGCTGTATTTTCAGTCATAGGTAAAATTAGTTGAACACAATAAATGCAACTGTATAGTTATGTATGAATGACTGGCTGACAAAATCAACGTAGAACTTCGCGTACAAATGCATCAGTACGAGTTGTCACACTTAACAGGAGTACAAAAACAACAGGTGGATAGAAAAGGAATGACATCAAATAAGATAAAGTAGTATGGGAGAACAAACAGTGAAGATAAAGTGTAGTGTGAATATTTCCAAGCTGTAGAACATGTCAAGGAGTGAATACATCTGCGCCATTGTGACTGACTTTAAGTTATGTAACCAAGAGTTCTCAACCACTGATTCCATTCACCTTGAGGACCTCAACCAGGCAGTCTACATCTCCATACACGGCTCAAGCCTACAGTAAGAGGACTTCATCGACTGGTATCAGGTCTTGTTCTGACCACTTTGAATTCTCTTCCAAGCTTAGCGAACTTCCTCCATCATGGTATGTCGATGTAGGCGGTGACTCGGCATGCGCAGTACATGTCCAAAGTATCTCAGTCAACTAAGGTTCACAACCTCATCAATTGACTTGCAGTTTCATGACTAGTATCCTTCGACTGACTTCAACATTGCTCACACTATGGTTCTACCAAACTCTAGCAATGCTATGAAGACATGCGTGATCAAAACCATGTGATCGATTCATGTCTTTTACTTTTTTAACGGCTATGTCTGACAGTTGTACCACAGGACAAAACGAACTGCAGCACAGTATACTCGTTCTTTGAAAGGTAGCTGGATATTTCGACAGCCGGAGTCACAAGAGACACAAGTTTGCAAATGCCAATCGAGTCTTCTGTATTCAAGCTGAAATTTAATCAGTAACCAGCCTGTTTGGACTGATGCAACTCCCTGAGTAAATGAGGTGGTCGACACATTCCACCACTTCACTCTCACACATTTAATTGGGAATACTTGCAGAAGACCAGTCCTAGAGTATCATCTTACATTTGACTAGTACGAAACGCATTTATGAGTGGACTAAGTGGATAGCAGTTCCATCTTTTTCCTGACAGTTAAGAATAATACCTTATCGTCCAAGTAGGAGGAAGTGAAAAAGGTATGTGGATTCATGACTATGACTGAGATAAAAATGACTAAAGCATTGAACTATAACTTCATGGATTATGATCAAGTTTCTTTACATACTTTTTTAAAGTTAATCTTTTGCTTGGTTTATGCACTTATGTTCGTGGGTATGATAGATTATTAATCCAATAGTTTCTGAATGGCTCCTTTCAACTGTTTTATTCATTTCGTATGTAGATTTATCAACAGTTTCAACTTGGTTTACATATTCTGGCTCGCGAGGACTTTTTAGATTTATTGGTCGAAAAGACGGGACTTTTTGTCAAAGCGGTGATTAACTATACGAATCACCTTCGAGATAATTCCTCCTATATTTCAAATATGTCAAACATAATGAATGAACATTGTAATGAACTGTATTCAGAGGTTACCTCCGACTTATTGCCATCGAAAACCTTTCAAAGTTTAATTGGTGTTCATATATCACCACGACAGAATATATCTTCTAACCAAAATAAACATTGCAGTGCCCCTCCTAGGGGTGTAAAAGAGACTCAGATTACTTGGTTAGATGGACAGTTATCACTAGACTCTCGTTATCAAGCCATGACTTATCTACCTTCGGAACGTCAAACTTTGATTACAACTTATTTCGATATGCTTATTCCATCCATAGATTCACATCGGTTTTTCTCGAAAAGTACAATTAACGATTTTTCAACTACAGATATCAGAGGTTAGTTTTTTTTTACAGCTATATCATCACTGCCTAAATTTTCATAACTGTTATATGAATTTAATGTTTTTCAACCGGGGCCTTCAATCTTTTGTCATCAAGCGTGTAATGTGTGAGTATTATGACGAATTTGATCAGCCTATTCTTTTTGTTTATTAAAATCATGCTGGTAAAACTGGCACTTTATTCCTGTAACTACTTTATCATGAGACATTTATTATTATTACTATTATTATAATAATAATTATTATCATTATTATTATTGTGATCGACAGATGCTTTTTTACAGAAAAATTAGCAATTTAAATTGTTGAAATGCAACTGGGCTGTGGTCTTTCAATAGTTTTTTGATTTGGAAGTGAAGGAAGTATACTTTAAAATTGTGTTGTGTAATGGAATTGAATCTGATTTTGGTTACATGTGGTTGAGGTTCAATCAGAATAAATCACTATAAATTTAGACGGTTTCATTGTCCTAATAAGTAGCAGTTTTTCGTATATTACTGTCTTGTTCACTTGTTCAGGGAAACAACGAGTGTGAGAGCTAACCAATGTTAATCTTTGGAACTGATACTCAAAGAAGGCAAGAGACAGGTATAAAGGAAGAAATATTTATTGTCAACAAGTAACACAGTAATCGTTAAATATGGTACATCTTGCACTAAAATCATCATTTCCTCTTATGCTTCTTTCTTGATTTGCTCTTCATACGCCTGCCTTGTCTCTTGCGTTTCTCTTGGCGGAATCCTTATCTATTGCTGGTAATTCCCTATGATTTCTGCCACCCTCTCAACGTATACTACTTATATCGATTATTATCAGCAATGCCCACTACAATACCATCCAGAACCTGTTCCATCGAAAACTGTCCTACTCCAACTTCCTAGGCTTACATTTATCTAACAGCTGAACATGAACTCGCGTAATGAAAATATTTTTTCGGAGGATCACACTTCCATTTTTATAGTTCACAGTTTGTTTGGAAGCTCGAAGTGCAGGAGACATATGCATAGTAATCTTAGCAGTTAACTTTGATCTGTTGATGATTGTTTAAATTTTTCAATTTATCTGCAATTAGTGTTGATGTTATCAGAGTAACCAGGCTTTTGAGTTGTTTCTTATTTTGGGAATATCAGCTACTCAATACATACAAGATTCTCATATGGTTCACTCCTGTCGAGTGTATTTTGTATCTTTGTGACAAAGCTGGACAAAAACTAATCTCAGACGTACAACAGCCTATATATCCAGCGTGACTGTTACCTAATGAATTAGATACTCAACTTTCACCCGTAGGATCACAAATTCAAATTCCGTTCTGCTTAATCCGATCTAGGTAGCTAACTAGTATCACTAGCCCTTATGTTAAGTGTAGCTCATAGCCTGGTACATATATAGCTGCATCATGCATTCTAGGGTTATATGTGTTTATTTACTGGTTATGCATTACTATTCAGTATTATCAAGGTAAACAGTACGTTTTACAGTATTCACCGCAGCTGTTCTGCAAAGTGAATTTTTTCAGTTTTCTTGATTATCAGAGACCTGTTACCTTCATCTTGTTTCATCTCTTGAAAGCTTTTAGTCATGTAAATATTTTCAACAAATACACTTATTTTATTTGCGTGTTTATGGGGATTTCGTGATTTTTCAAGTTGGTATTCACCATAGACTGACGTCAGTGGGAAGAACATTAGAAACCTGGGAGCACTGGACAGCTGTTTCGTCCGACCAGTATGGGGCTTCTCAGCAGTATGCACCCATAACCCCACATCGCTGGGGATCGGACCCAAGATCTTCAGTTCCCGTGGCCAGCATATTAACATTGAGCCACTGGGTCGGAATCCAGTGGTCCATATTCCCAACTTCTGTGAGTTCATGACATAATGTGACCATCACCCAATGTCGTCGTTGAGAATTTGTCTTCACGGCCACCACCATGGCTAACAATATACAGTGTAGTGGTTGAGTGTGTCGACCACTTCACTTACCTGCGAAGTAAAATCAGCCCTGCTCTGCTGGCTCAGTGGCCGGTGAAATCTCTGCACGGATACAAAAGGCTCGATTGGCTTTCGCCAACCTACGCCACCTGTGGCGCCGCCGTGATATCCGATTGTCTATTGAGGGTCGCGTGTACTGCACAGCAGTTCAGTCTGTTCTACTGTATGGCTGTGAAACATCGCCAATGAAGGTGGAAGACATTAGGTGTAGATGTATACATACATTATCCTCATCTTAACGACGCTATACCGAATCTCAACACTCTATCTTTCTTCGTTTCTCTCTTTTCGTACTTTATATTTCTTTTGACTGAATTGTCTTATCTTCATCTTGCGCCCCACTGCCTTTTTACTTGATGTACTGATATGAGGTGTGGCAACTCGGACCGTTACGCAGTAATGCCTAGTCCTAGGTTGATCTCGATGGATGGACTACGGTCCGAATTTTCATTTCACTTTCAATCTTCGCCCAGTATCAACACTAGTCTGCCAAACCATGATTATCTCTGGTAGTCAAAATGTTAATGATAGTTTATTTAATGACATATTGACAAGCAGATAGGTAAGTAAGTATTACTTTTCTTAGCAATATTAGTTACATTAACTAATAGTCGAAACCTTTGAGCATATAAATAAACCTAGTGAGTTTTATTGAATTTTTTAGGAGTTCCAATTCCCAGGAATTCAGTAATATCCAGTGGGATGGATTCATTAACAACAGATAACTTTTCATATGTTGATCCAACAGTTGAGTACTTTCCTGAAAATCCTACACAGCAACACTTCCAATCTGAATTATCATCCCCGTGTTCCTCATGTCCATCTGTTTCATGGGGTGGATGTATGGATTTGTTTTTTAAACGTCTCGCCTATGAATATCTTTCTGTTGACCCTACATGCAAAATTGTAGGCAACTGTATCTCCATGGATGAAATGATCTCATCTCTGAAGTCAAACTTATCTCAAAAATGTAGTATTTCATATCTTCCTTCCCTGATCGATGATCAACCTCCATTAATTTTATCTATTGCTGTGGTATGTATTTGCACAGATACAGTAGCAGCGCATTCTATTATCAATCTTCTTTCATGTATAGGATTTTGCATACTTCCTTTCAAATCAAAAAATTGTGAACATTCGTTTAATCGTTGCTTTGATCACAATCATTATCAATCCACAGATCTTTTAGTGCTAAATGCTACATGGCCTTTACCAACAGCAAGATTACTTTTCTCTGATTCATCTAGTCCATTCATTTCTACTAATCTTAGAAATCTACCTATCTCGGAATCATCTAAAAACAAGAATTTAAACAAAATTTATGATGGTCAAGTACGCATCGACTTGATGTCGCATCATTCAGTAAGTTTGTTTCATAGTTAGATTGATATCATTCATTTGGTTTCTCCAGTTTACTATGATTTAAAGTTGTACGATTATCAGTTGCAGGTAATTTTTTTTAGACTTTTAGCAATCACTTTGACCAAAGTATTATCGAAAAGCACTAAATGAGACCATCAAATTTTATCGAATTCATTATTGCGAATAGTCTTCAAGTTCTGATTATTATAGTTAAGTTGACTATCTTCCACGTGAACTTTCGTGTATTTGTTGAGCATAAAGTTTTCTGAAAAACTAATTAAGGTTTTACTTATGTAGGATAATACCGATGACTAATACCTTGACTTGGTAACTGGGCCTTACTTGCTATGGATTAGTTGTGTTATTCTAGTTTCAATGGTTATTATTCCAAGTTCAATTATCGTAATGAAACCTTCTAAAAGTTAATAAAATCAATGTAAAGAAGTTTTACAGTGTCGAAAGCCTTGTTGTGAAAATAAAGTGTTCATACTGAGTGAACCTTGAATCATCACCCAGTATAAATACTAGTCTGCCAAACCATGATTATCTCAGATAGTCAAAATACTGAAGAAAATAAAGTGGAAAATCTTCTGACATAGTTTTACATTTTCAGTGTAATATAAAACTAATGTTTTGCTTTTTTCTTTGCAATCAACTTTATTTTTATGCATTTGAAATTCATTTCAACTTCAAATTTCATAGGTTTGCAACTTTTTTCAAATCCTTTCTTTATTCAGAATATTCACTGTATAGAGCTACATCAGTGTACACTGTGTAAATTGTGTTTTTCATCATTGTACTGTTACGTTATCGAGTCGACTAACTGTTACTAAGTAACCACCTTGTTTATGACCATGCTATCACTGGTTAGGTGGTAGTGCTATAGTGATTTAACTTCGTATCTATTTCTCACTGAGTCATCTAGCTGTGGTATTCAATCTATCGTGTAGTGAGTTTAGCACATATCTAGCTTAATGATCATTGCATTGACCTATTACTGATAATTAGTGGTTATGATGTAAATTTGTTTGACGATTTTCATTCATTTCACTCAGAATCTTCTACTCTGATAAAAACTTAGATAGTTTTCCGTTTTTATTTAAGCTCTTGAACAAGTTGTTGTCATATCGAGAAGTTACAAGTCGATGTGAACAGCTGAACGACGTATCACTTACTGGAAGCAACAACGAACCTACAAGTGTTCATTCAAATCTACTGTATTCTGGATTAATCCTTATTACTAGCATCCCATCGTCTGCTGATGAAGAACAATACAATTCATTAGCTGAAAAGAATGGAGTTGTAATTCGATCGCATAATTCATTAGATAACGTCAGTGATAAATTTAAAAATGAAGAAAATTTTGTCAATATGTCAGAGGATAATCTACATGTATGCACTTTAACACCTCATTTACCACCCATCTGTCAAACATCTTGTGAAACTGAAAGTGACTCCAAAATGCATGTGGAATGTATTCCACCTTCGAATTTTTCTTGTTCTTCAAACCAACTATCTTGCACATGCTGCAAACTATTTTACAATAAGACTGCTGATAACCCTGAATGTGCTTGTGGTCAATGCTGCAATTGTGTACATTCATTGAAAAATTCTAGTTATAACTCATTCCATACAAAATCTAATCCTTGGGGAGATAAAAGATCGTTCTCAAACTTAATTTGTCCCCATCGTCGGCGTTCTTGGGAAGCAAGAGTTGCGGCTATCAGTTCAATTGTTGAACAGCTTCCAAGCAGCATTCCTCGTTTAGTCTTATTGACAGAGTCATGTGACAGTAAATCAGATAAAAAACAAAATCTTGATTCACCTCCACATATTTATCTAGCTCCCGAATCATTAAGTTTCTCTACGTTTTCAGAACAATTACATCCTGGCATTTCACGTAATTCGGATAAAAATTCATCTGTCCCATTGAACCATGAATCTTCTTCAGTTGATTGGATGCCTGCGGGAACAAATATCCTAGGTAGCTTCATTTTCTTTACTACATGTTAAGAACGTGTTATAAACCTTCTGTTTGTTACCATCATTCATTTCTAATGTATTACTCCTAGCTTCATTTATGTTCTAGGCTTTTGGTACTTCAGGATAAATCCGCAATTCTCCCTGATTTATTAGTAAGTAATGAAGGCTGTAGGTAACCTGGGACGAAAAAGGCATCGGAAGCACATGATCTAGTATCACAGGTATTTAAAAACGATGGTGGAGGATTATTTGCCAGGTGAACTAAAGTGTTAGCTGGCGTATGAGAATCAAATATGATCCCTCTTGACTGACCCAAATCGCTGATTGTTCCAGTCTTTAGGAACAGCGAGACGTCTTCTTGTAATAACCACAGGGACTTAGTCCGTCAGATATAATGCTTGATATTTTCGGTTCTGTAGCTATGAAACATCTAAGTGAAGTTCGGGGACAGCGTATCGGAGAAAACCAGACAGGTTTGAGACCTGGTCGTCGTAGATGTATCGACTAGACATTCAGTCTCAGTCAGGTTATGGAACACAGACATTCGTGTCGACGCCCGATACTTGTTATATTTCCCGATCTTAAAATGACATTGAACTCTGTCGATCGAGAGGTCTTATGACTGTTTCTTACTGAAAGAAATGTTGAGTGAGTATATCATTGTTGAAGATTGTATTCTAATATTCGTGGGGTTGTTCATACAGCCTATGGTATTACCTCAGGTGAGTGGAGCACATGGAGGAATGTCTGATTAAGAATGTTGATTCTGTTTGTTTTTATTTAACTTTGTCATGGACATGTTTGTAGAGGTCTTCGTCTTGTTGTCTGACTTTAGGGGTGATTGACGTTGTGACAGAAGACCATTTAGTATCAGATGAGATTGTGGTGTTATGTGAAGATGTTGACAAGGTGTATAGTGTTCTGGACAACTTGATTGAGCATTTGTGAATGTTTAGGATGGATTTGTAAACAGCGAAATGCGAATTATTGATGGAGAGGTGATCTTCGTAGGTGTCTTGTGTAATAAAGAAGGGTGAGTGTGTTTACCAGTTGACTTAGGTGGATAGCTGGATCAACTGTGGTGGGTGAGTGTGACTAATGAGATGTTTGCATGGATGAAAAAGACTTGGTTGACCGTTGATGGTGTGGTGGTTGTATGTGATTTGTTTTTAAGTGTTTTTGAGTGTACTGTGCTACAGTTGGGTGTGTTGAGTGATATGACTGTGAGACATGGTGATTATGAGAGAAGGGGGATGCGGTGTGTTGAAGTTTTTGAGCACTGTATATTGTTGCGACATGATATTATGAACGTAGAAGACTTGGTATAGTTTTGGGGAGAAAGGGTAAGTAATTTGATGAGTTTTTGAACCATTATGGATTCAGATGGCTTTTGGATGTGATATGTCTCTTTGGTTGTACAGTGTTTCGTGTAGTAGTTTCAGACTGGAAACAGGTTAAAGTTGGCTATGGTAAAACACTACACTTGTCAATGAAGTTGGTCTGGGTTGTGTGGAGAGGTGTAAACTTTCCTGATTAGAACCGGGTGACACCTGTAGTCGGTGGCTGGGCATGCATATGTCCAAGCCAATACTAGTATGCCTCACCTAATACCCTTTGTCCTAACCTCAACATTGCCGACACGGTGATTCCACCGTACGCAACCAATAATACAAGAGAGCTACGGTCAAAAATTGTTAGTCTCTAAAAATTTCCTACTTATAACGGCTATGTCTCGCAACCGTATAACAGAAAAAAACGAACTGCAGCACAGTACACACGTAGCTTAATACACAGTTAGATGTCTCTCCAGTCAGTGCTAGAGGTGACGCAAATTACCAAATGCAAAACGGACCTTCTGGATCCGAGTTGAGATTTTTTTGAGCAAGCTAAATACTCGGAGTAATGCAGCTCCCCGAGCAAATGAAGTGGTCGACTCCTTCCATCACTTCATTCCCTAACGTTAAGCTAGGAGAAGTTATAGACCAGACCTGGAGGACCATCTTACGTGTGGCAGGTGCAAAGCACATGCCAAGGATACTCAGATTTCGGCTGAGGACATTCATAAGACCTTGCATTTTGTTGGTGTTTTCACCTCTCAAGACGATATCGTCTGCGTATTCCAAGTCATCCAGGGAGTAGATCAATCCCTGTGCTTTCGAATGCACTTAAGGTTATACCCATTAATACATATGTAACGAAACTAAGCAAGAACGGTGACAATAGGCATCCTTTGCGGACACCTCTAGTTGTCTTCAATTCGGATGAAAACTCACCATAAATCCGTACAAAACTGTGCGAACGATTAGAGAGTTTTGATAAACACTATATACTATCCCGGCATACCATTCACGACTGGACACTGCTACAACATTTAACAGTCGACGAAGATGATTGCCTCCTTGAAGTTTAGAGATATGACGAGTGTCGGCTTGCGGTAATCATGCCTGTGTTCTATAGCCTAAGGAGGAGGGATGCAGCACGCAAGAAACAAGTGCAAAGAAAAACATTGGGATGAAAGTAAGCAAAGATAAATAAGGAGAGAAAATTTAAAAACGAAGGTTACTGAAAATATTGAAGCTTTAGAGGACGTCAAAGTGTGAATAGATCTGCACCATTTTGACCGATTTTAACCACGTCACCATTGTTGTCATCTGAAAGACTCCATCCAGGTAGTCCACACGTCTGAGACGAAGAGTCAGAGACTTGGTGAATTAATCGATGTGCTCTCGTCCTGGTCTGAAACCTGCCAGGTTCCTTCGAGTGTGGTATTATCGAGTTCTGGTTAAAGCGTGGGATAACTAAGGACCCAAGGATTTCAGACGCTATGTTAGTTAAACTGATCCCCCGTGTATTCATGTTAGTGACTAGCAGTGGAATCCAAGACGCGCGTCTGGTGAATGTACCTGCACTTGAGTGAGTGATGTCCCCACTGAGACTTAAACCCAGTACTCATCGCTTCAAACGCCAAAGTATTATCTACTAGGCCACTGGGACCCTCTCGTTGTCACAAGAAGACTTCTCTCCCTTTTAATAGACCGAAATGGTCAGTGAAGTAGACCAGTCTAATGGCAGTAGCTCTGATTCTTAGAAACTACCTAGTACCTCAATTAATCCACTCAGTAATTCTCTACCTCCTTCACTAAAGGGCTTTTGTGGCAAACCATCAGGTCCTGCCGCTTTGCATCATCTCAGGTTCGATACAGCCTTCTCAGCTTCGAGGAGATTTGGATGACTGATATCTGCTTCCTGTTCAGTTTGTAGTTGGATATTGGACAACCGAAAGGTTGCTGTTGACCACTTAAACTGTTCTTCAAAGTATTCCATCCAACGTTGTGGTCCCCCGTCCTGGAAAGTTATCAGGGTGTCATCCGATTCGGTGATGGTTTCAATAACCATCGCTTTCTTCTTCCCACTTTCCCTAATAAGCCTAAATAGTTGCCATGTATTATTCAATGCTAATACCCCCATTGCTTCCGCCACCCATCACTGCTTGGGATCACTACGAAAACTTGTATTCAATATACTTTTGAGTTGATTTCACTTTTCAATGTGGTCAGAGCCAGCTGGAAAGAGTTTTCTCACATCAGTCATTTCGAATGACGTCGTGGAAATTCAAATACGTTTACTGACGTTCGGGTGTAGGTTACCGATTGTTTCCATAGCAGGCTGAATATGACGCTAGGTTCCCTCAGGAAGGAGATCACTGTCAAGTTTAAATGAATGCTTAGCTATCTACTGTTTAAATGCGTACTTGATGCTCTAATCTTCCAATGAAACACATGCAAGCTTGATTGCCGCCTGTTTTCCGCCACCGGCGAGACGCAGAGATACACAGACCTGCATTGACGCGTGATTGGAATCCAAATAAGCACTCAAGAAAGAGCAGCAATCCTCCACCAATCCTTTGCAACGATGGTTTGTAGCGATGTGATTTATCTGCGTCCATCGTTTGACGTTGGTTGATGTTGGTGAAACAGCGTTTCTGCTTATATCTGGTGTCATTACTGGCCGGAAATAAATGACTGCCAGAACAATATGCAAGAGACGATTACTGTTGTCGGTTTCGTTGGCATGGAATTCCATAGATACTCACAAGGTGCCTTTCGGATTGCCTCAGGTTTCGTACTTGAGCTCTGAAGTCGCCTGCTAGTATGACTATATCTGAACTATTTTGTTTCTTTAGAGTAATTGTCGACTTTGACAGAAATCACGCTTTGCATAATATGAACTGCAGTCGATGAGCGTGTAGAGGGAGATTATGAGTGGGCATCAACAGGTCTCCTGATCCCTCCTAGTTATTACGGATCTTTTGCTTCAGATAGAACCTCGAAGGCTGTTGATTGGCATCTAATCGAGAAGTGTGCTCCAGAACTTAGTGTTATACCTGTACTATTGAGTCCACCATCACTAGGCATTGAATATCCGGATACTTGTGAGATGAATTCTAGAAACTCACTGTACTGGTTAGGGTCGGTCAAGTTAGTGAATTCTCTTAGGTTCTATATGTATGTCTCATGGACACAGCATGCATCCAAGACTCGAGATTGCATATTTTGGTAAGAGGTGGCTGCTTTCCGATCTTGCAGAGGTCTCGAACGTTGGTGGATCGAATGTGAGACCGGTAACGTGGCTTTAGGAGACTAGGAGTGGTGTTCTCATGGTTTGTATTGTTTGCGATGGTCTTTGGTCTATGTGCCTGAAAGCATTTGTTTGCGTGTAACCTCTCAACCCTCTCAACCTGCTTGAATTCAGTTACACGCGGCCTGTTCTGAAGTTCGCTCTTTTTGTGAACCTTATTATAAACCCATATCACCACGATCGGTATGCTGCTGGGTAGAGTGGAGTGTACTAATTTTAGTGCTGGTCTTCTCTAGCACCCTTCCTTGCCATGGCGAAGACATCATCTATATGGAACTGCTGGTCATCCACGGGAAACGTCTAACTGCCGTCGCATCTCGTCAATCTATCAGTATGACTTCACCCTCAGTGCCCCCACCATAGCATAAGCTATTTACACATAATAGTCCCATTTGGAAACGTTAAAACAGAAACATTTGCCAAACAAATATATTGGTTCGTAGTTACAGTCATTTCTGACCGCAAAAGGAGGACTACTGGAGCAGTTACGAAAGACATTTGCAGTTTGGTATGCTAAAATACTAAGGTTATTTGTACTATTTCTTTCTCATTTCGTCCTATTTTTTGTATTTCTTGCAGCTTTTATTGCTTTTATGAGTTGTATCGTACATAACTATTACGGTGTGAAGTTGTGAGAACGAACGAAAATACTTAACGATTGATAGTTGAGGGTTGAGACTATTCAACCCGAGTGATTCACAAAGAGAAATCAAAAGACTGGGAATCAGATGAGTTTATAGTATCTCGCAATGAAAACATTTGTGAGTGAGAACGGAGCCTATTTATAAAGTCTACAGTAACCTTGAAAAGCAAGGAGTAATTAGCACATTTAAAGTGACAGGAGCCAATCAGAACGCCATCGGGTCATACGAAATATGACCAATGCTTGGGGAAAAGAGCGCGAAGTAAAACGGCTCAAATATACCCAAACTGTAAGTATGGAATATAAGGTATATAGGCATTCCTAACAATAACTCATTGTATTCGTATGCTGGGTTAAGAAAGACAACGAATGAATATGTTTCGCACTCTTTATTGGTTTTTTTTATAAAATCACTCAATTCAAGTAATGCTATGAGACTTTGTTGGTATTCAGTTGAGAAGTGTGCGTCTACCCGTCTAACATAACTACCTGCGTGGTCGTCAGACTAAAGACCCTGTATAAAGAAATTTCTGGGTGGAATTTAGCAAGTTAATTATATTGCGGAAAGTCACGTCAGGTGTGTAATCACATGTGTATATGCTAAAAAATTATCATTAGTATGATCCAACAATTATTTTCCTTTTTCATATTTATCGGTTTGCGTTTTCAATGCATAAGGGATTCACTTGTCATATTATTCAAAGTTAACAAGTGTTTATTTCATAATTTTGTACAGATTTTCACAAGGTTTTAGGTCTTCATAATGATATCACAAGTAAATAGCTTTTCACTGCATTACTTATTAACTTTTAGATCATGTTATAAACTTTCTCAGTCATTGTTGGAGTAAAGTGGGTCAAAATATGTCTTCCAAGAATGTGGAAAAACAAAAAGATTACGGTCAATACACACCCAAGCAAAATTCTGTAACAGTGAATAGATGCAATTCACCTAATTTAATAGTGACACCTAATTTGGCACCTCAGTCTTCTCCAGAAACCTCATCAGAGAAACCATTTAGTGGAGGATTTTTAAATACCCTATCAATTGCATCTGTTACTAAGCGCAAAGGTATACTTTCAGCCAACCAAGCTCTCAGAAAACTTTCTGGCAGTACAAAACGCAATCAAAGTTGTAAATTATCTCCTGTTAATACCAATTCCAAAGGATTTCTACCCACCCTTTTTGATTTTCATAGTAAAACCAGCTCGGATGAAAGGACAGAAACAACTAGTGAACAAGTTTCTTACATTGCCAATTTCCAAACAGATATTCCAGAATCTATATCTCTTCAGAATAATACTTGTATTTCACCTCCTCTTCCTCCTTCTGTGGTTATGCTAAATTTGCCTTCACGATATGATAATATTCCGAGTGAAGATAACCGTGTATCTCTAGAGAAATCAAACAGCTATGAACATCCAGTTCGATGGGCAATCGGTTCTTGTATGTAAGTTTATGTTTTTCTAATCTGTATTAAACTTTCCTTTTTTTTTGCGTAAAATTTTACTTCACTGTCATTTGCATACTTTAACTGTATGTTATTAGTGACTTATGTCTTGAAATAGAGTTTTAAATTTATTTATTGTGATAAACTTTATTAAATTAAGTCACTTGATTTCGGTATACACCAAAACCAAACTTTTTTTTTCAATCGTGTTACATTACTGCTTTTCAAAAAGTGATAAACGATTCTTTCCTCTTTGATGTGGATCAATAACGTGAACGATACCTTAGTCAATTAATTAGGATCAAGGCGGGATTATGCTAGGATTATTGCATAATGATGGTCCAAGTTGCTATACCTCAAATCAGCACATCAAGGTAAAGGACACACTGACGAAAGATATATAGAAATAAGAATTAAAGTAATCAAAAGTGATAGGAATTCGTGAAAAGAAAAACGAAATTCTATATGACGATTAGAATGACGATAATATGTGAGTGCATATGCACCACTGGGACCGATTTTCATCCATATCGCCGAGAAACTTCAACCAACGATTCTAATTGTCACACGGACCTCAACCGGCAGATCTACATTTCCCTACACAGCTCAAACCAACAGTCAGTGAATGATAGAGGGAATAATGATAAGGTAATAAAAACCTGTAATGAATGATACTTATAAGCATGAATATCAATAGTATATATAGCAATGTCGGAAGAAGATTCTAGAGGGAAGATAAGATAGCAGGTACAAATATACAGCGCAAGAACGCTACACTTTGGGATGCCGAAAACGACAATGCTTACTGATGTTTTTTATACCGATTATAATTTTCTAATCAACTAACTTTGCTGCTCCACTAGACTTCTCCTCAATTAGTGTTGCTGCTTTTGAACGAGATGAAGATACCGTCGTCTTCTTAAGGAATGGAAACATCAGCAGCCCCTTGTGAGACTTCAAAGTTATGGCATGCAATGCAGAAGTTCTGAAGCAGGAAGTTGTAACTGAATGAAGATCTGTTGCTGTTGCTGCTGATGCTAACCAATCTGTTAAGTCGAACGCTTTCTACGTAAATAAAGATTCGCAGGCGCAGTTAGTGTTACAGTTCATAAAAAGTGTTCCAAGTACGATTGCTTAACACTTCACATCTCGTCAAGCAATGTGGCCGGTAGAAATTAATGGGTTTAAAAACGTTAGCACACAGTTGATAATTATAACGGTGACTACATTAGAAACGCCAGAGTGGAATCAATGAAAAAATTAATTAAATGAACTGCTCCACCAGATAACTGCCCTTTAATGTGCTTGACTTTATGGAATGAGTATATTGCTTGCAGAAGAACTGGATATTGTTGAAGAACCTGTTCACAAAACAAGAAATGAAAATACTTCAAAAGTACTCTATCTCTCCGATCAAACTCTAAGTGGTGAGGGAAATAGACAAAGGTACAATGTGTGCTGGACTATGGGTAAGTAATTGGGAAGTTATGTGTTGATATTAGAGCAGCCGTATCCTTAAGAGGCACAGTGTCATCTCAGATCGTAAGAACATGCGCGTTGATATTTTCTGTAACACACTAACAAATCATGGAAGTATTCTCATTAGATCATGACAAATTGGCAAAAGACATTTCAGCGAAGAAAACTTTCCCTTCGAAGAATCCTTTTCAGAAGCTGTACATACGTATTTACAGTTACATCAAAAATATGTCCATCAGTGGCTAATAGGTCAGTACAACATCATCCAAAATTATACTTCTCAGCGGCTTAAATAATCAGAAACCACTCAGGCTGATGTGTAGATTTTACCAGCTAGATCAGAGTGATCTAAACACCCGATAGCCCATTCGCTTGACTGGTGCCGAGCTTATCGACGGTGTACCCAAACAAATTCAGCTTATAGAGCTGGGTTAGTTCAGATCACCTGAATCTGGTTAGCTACCTTGCATGGACTGGTATGCCTAAGTGAAAGAGTGGAAGAGTCGTCTGGTGCTTAGATCACTGTAACCTGGTCAACGAAATCGACACATCGGCCGGAATGATTTCTAACTACTCAAATCGTTCAGTAGTATATTTCACCGGTTCATGACACTTGTATCAGAGGTCATACTTTATGATCTCGACTAGTGATTTTTAACAGAAACCCTGTTGACACCACAGTTAGGCAGTTAAAAAACTACTAAGTTGTGAGAAATGTCAATGGGGAACATGCAGTTTGTAAATTATTTGCAAATTGATCATCAAAAATTGTCAATAGAGTCATAAGATTACGACTAGAAGATCAACACAAGATCGTCAAAATTATTTTCAGGATTACGAGTTAATGGATCAAAGGCCAAGATAAGGTAATTGTGCAATAATCCATGGAGTAATAGGATAGGTATGGAAAGTGGGACAGTTCTATTAAAATTGAGAATTACGGAGTAAGGAAAGGGGTGGAAATAATGATGTTGATAAATAAAATATTCAATAAAAATATTTCGGGGAGATTATGATAAGATTAGATGTACCTCTTTTGAACACAGAGATTAGGCTTGAACTGATAAATTAACAAAACTTCTGCTATGTTGAGGTGGCGAATCCTCACTCCATTCGAAATGTTTGATTTGACTTTATAAATGACTTTAAAGGATGATTGTGACAAAGCAGAGTGACCAGAGAGAGAATCGAACTGTCGATCGCTTTACACTTTCCTTTCGACAGTCATGCAGGATAGTGTTCAGAGGTGCGTTTGAATAGTACACGCTTTGTGTGGCCTATTTAACCAGTTTTACATTGGCACATATGGATATAGAAATGTATTTTTATTGTAGTCATAAATACGAATGCACAACCTCTAAAAATGATTCATCGAAAAGATAAACGGTAAAGATTATAGAGGTGACAGACTGTATCATAGAAACAAGGTATCATAAAGTCAACTTTTCGTTCATGATCACTACCCACCCACAACGAACAATTCCAGGTGCTGATTTTTTGAAAGAAGTGAGTGCTGTGAGTAACACAACAGACAGTACAGTGACTACGAAGTACGGGCCTTTCGATATACATGAAAATGGTGAAGTAGAAGAGATAAAGGTTCTGACAACACCACACATGAACGCACGCAATATCACAGAGTTGGCTAGGGATTACAAAACGTTATTTACTTGAAATAGAGATACCTATACGTGTACTGTGGCAGGGTAATGCACAGCATTTGGTGGTGAATCAGCAAATGATGACCTTTTCAAAGCTTCAAGTCATGTAGAAACCAAAGTCAACAGACAGTTTCAAGAAATGTTAAATAATAGGTTCATCAAAGAGGCTGACATCCCATGTAGTTCTTGAGAGACCTACCATTTATCGTTTAAATTCTATGCGTATACTGTTCGAGTAGGTATGCATCTTGCTGCCTGTGTATGCCAGGAAAAAAATAATGTGAAAGCTTGCATAATGTTATATTGTTTCAAGTTAACACACTGCATCACGAAAACAGAACACGAAACTTGGTGAGATGACCAGCAAGGAGAATTGAATTCGACAAAGGAGCAAGTAAATCAATGGCAATTTGATAAAGATGCTAAATGAAATCGAATGAATGCGTCTCTGTCATAGCGATGGTCTTTAAACGCTGATGATTTAATATCTTGTGGAGTTCATTTACCCAGCCTACACTTCCTCACATGGATCAAACTAAAAATAAGTATTTCAAGTTGTTATTCATAGTAGACTGACATCAGTTGGAGGAACAAAGGAAACCTAGGAGCACTGGACAGCTGTTTCGTCCTATTATGGGACTCCTCAGCAGTGCGCACCCATGACCCCGCCCTCCAAGGATCGAACCCGCCACCTTCATAAATTCTTCACGAACAAAATAACTCGTTTTGACAGTTTCCAAATCAAGTTGTTGCACTTATGTCCTAAACATTGCACATACAACCTTACTGATTCGGGCAAAGGTCGAGCATAAAACATGTCAGTGTTCGCACTTCTGCTCTACACTTCTGAAATATGGTCCTTCGAACTGAGGATATTTGACGACTTTGCATGTACGTTCACTTTTGTCTCTATAAGATTGCTGAAATCTACTAGGATCATAATGTAAGTAATTCTATGGTGAGGCGGCGTATGTGTGAGCGTAATGGAGATTGTCATTCATTCAGTAAGGTCATCTTGAAACCGACTGCAATAGCTTGTGTATGAAGTACCAATATCGTCCCAGCAGCTTGTAAACAGTCCGTTGTTTGCTCGACTTGAATCTTATTAAAGGAAACGGAATGGTTGTTAGTATATGATGTGGTTTGTACCATAGAATGAAAGATATTTGTATTGGATTAACTGTTTGTTAGTACCTCACCACATAAATGGATTATTTAAGTAGTCCAGAAGATATATCCAAAGAAGCATTCACTGCCTTCCTTCCCTCTAATAAAAGCAAAGAGACTGCAGCATGATCGCCACTGGTTTCCACTATGGGTCGTACACTTCATCATTCAAGTCACTGGATTGCGTAATCTCTTCGATGCCATAGATTATGCAACCCAGTGACTTAGATAATAAAGTGTATGGCTCATAGTGGGAACTAGTGACGATCATGCTGCGGTCTTTTTCCTTTTATTAGTAGAAACGAAGGTAGTGAATGTTTCTTCGGATATGTCTTTGGGACTACGTTTTTAATAACTCATTCATATCTTTGTTTCCGTTCTTTTTTATTCCTTAGGTATCTCGTATTTGTCTTATTACTTTTCCTACATTTTTTATGTCCCATCTCTTGGGTCCCATGTTATACCAACAAATATATCTTAAACTCCGATAAATAGACATTGTAATTATATTGACCTTGACGACTAACAGAAGAATTCAGGACGCGCGCTTCGTCCTATATGGGACTCGTCAGCCGGATGTAGCTGCACCCCAATGGACGATGTTGTTCCTACTGAGACTCGAACCCATTACTCATCGCTTCAAACGCGAAAGCGTTATCCACCTAGCCACTGGGCACAATAACCACCTCTTGTGCAATGGGGATCAGTTGTTGTTATGACACTTGTTGTTATACAGGGTTCGAGCAATTCGACCTTGTGTAGCGATGGGTACCACAAGCATCATGTCAACAGACACTGACTCTTTAAATGGAAGTATTCTCTCATCTGTGCTTGTTGTTGATAGTGGTGGGGATAAAACTTTCGAAAGTGTAGTATCCATTATGGTCATGATTATCATCTTCAATGTAAGTTGACCTAATCGTGTACCTCGTCAACTATGCCTAATTATAATTATTTCAATTTTTTCACTTCATGTATCTAATCATTTAGCTTATTTTGAATGGATATGTTTATTTACACTTTTTTTAAAAAACAGATACTGCGAGGAATCACCTATTCAAGAAGAAATAGGGAAAGCACAAAATAAGAATTCATATTCTAAAAAGATTCATTCAAAATCAATGTATAGTAAAATAATGCCGACGACAAATTCATCTATTTCCTTAACCGGTAGTTGTAATCAAGCTTTCTCACGATTCACTGTTCAAGACTGTAAGAGATTTACTTCTGATAATAGGAAGAGCGTACAACTAAATTTTGATGCTATATCCTCGTCATCGTCAACATCATTATCGAAGATTCTATTTGCGCAAAGTCCTAACAAATTATCCTACAATGGAAATTATCATGATAATCTTATGTACAACTACAAGAATTCATGTAATATTGAATTAGTTGAAAAATGTCATTGTTCACAAGTTATACCAGGAACTATGAAAAATAGTAAGTTTCATCATTTGCACTTTTTCCTATGATGGTTTTGTTTTTAACACTCACTTTTTTTATGGTTGTTAGTGTTCAATTCAATTTTAGAGTTTGTGTGGATTCAGAGATATTTTAAATTGGTTAGGATCGAGAGGATGAGCATACGTTGTTTGACCGATGAAAAGACCCTAGGAGATTGGGATTTCGCCAACGATGATTTATGTCTGGTGTCTTGTCGCACAAACTCGAAGATCTACAGGAAGAAACTAACAAGTTGACAGAAGAGGCAGGGCAGCGAAGACGGCACTTCCTTCAGGTGAACGTAGAGAAAACAGAGGTGATGGAGATACCCAACTAACAACAACAACAACAACAACAACAAACACCAATCACCATCAATGGGAGAAACCTAAAGGAAGTTGTCTCTTTCACCTACCTAGACAGCATCGTTTCAACTACAGGCGGCGGTAGCGACACAGACACAGATGAGAATGTCAAAGCAACCAGGATCGGAAAGACAACAAGACAGGCCTTCGTTAAACTGAAATCAATGTGGAGATATGCTGCACTGCACTACACTACACTGTGCTGCACTCAGCATAAAGTGTGAACAACATCCGGATTTTCAACACTAATCCAGTCAAGTCAGTCAGTGATTCTATATGCTTCAGAAACTTGGTGCGTCTCCTAAAGCACTTCCAACAAACTACACATATTCATCAACAGCTGCCACCTACGTTCACTCAATACTGAAGATGAGATGGATGGCCAGAAAGAATGAGGAACAAGCAACTCTGGCTGACTGACTGGCTGGCTGGCTGGCGACGAACTAACCAAGAACCCATCACTCAACAAGTATGCAGAAGAAAGGGGAGGTGGATTGGGCATACACTGAGAAGACCATTCGGGGACATCATGCTCCACGCCACGCCCTCGGTGTGCAATCCAAAGAGGAAACCACCAGTTGGGCATCCCAGATGATGGTGTCATGGAGGATATCATGTGAGGAGGAAATGAAAGCTTGTGGGCAGTCGTGGAGCCAGGTTTTGAAGACTGCAGAGAACAGAGTGCAGTGGAGACGTGCTATTCAAGCCCTATGTTCCACTAGGAACCCAAAGGACAAATAATGATGATAAATTGGTTTTCATCATCGACTAGCATCAGTTGGAGGAACATTGGAAACTTGGGAGCACTGGACAGCTGCTACGCCCTGGTGTGGGATTCTTCATCAGTTTGCCCCAATTGAAGAAACAGAAGACAAACTCGACGAGAGAATGTTTATTAACAACAATTGGAATGTTAGTCGTTACATATAGTACACCTTGCACTAACCCAGTCATTTGCAAATGTCTTCGTTTCCTCCTCCGTTCCTCTCTTGATTTGCTCTTGACCTGCACTTCATACACTCTTATCAGCAGCATCCACTGTAATACACTTGTGTTATCCCTTGCGTTGCTCTTGATAGAAACCTTACCCATTGCCGGTAATTCCCTATGATTCCTGCCACCCTCTCGATATATAATACTTATATCCGTTGTTATCCGTAACGTCCTCTACACCATGACGCCGCCAGAGATCGAACCGGCGATCTTCAGTCTCCGTGACCAGCACGTTACCATTGAGCGTCTAAGGGCACATTTATGTATTTCTGAAAGTTTATTTCAGTAGGGTTACTTTTTTGAAACTTCATTATTCGTGAGCAATAATGACATCTTTACGTATTTTATTTTCATACAAAAATTTATTTCGTTACTTTTTTTTTACTCTAAAACATTTGTATTATTCTTTGTCATATTCATCGCGGTATAATTATAAGTCGACCGTTTGTTCAAAACATCAATTCTTTTATCTATTTGGTGAATAGGTATTCTCATTCTCACCTTCCTAGTCCAATCAAAATGTCAATAATCTTTAGATTCACTAGCTTGAACCATTTAACTTGTGATTAAAGACAATTATATATTATTTTTGGATTGATACTCAACCAACATTTTGTAAAACTAAAATACTTAGAGTGCTAACTGTAATGTAAATCTAATTTAGTTGAATTGATAGCTAATTTATGTATGAATGTTTTTTTTTTAACAGGTAAACAAGATATTCACCTGAGCCATGAAGCTTCATCTTGTGATTTTAATACACTTGCAATGGTAAGTAGGAAATGTAAAAAGCCATTGAATAATTCTATTCATGTTTTTGTTTGTTTGACATATCAAAGAATGAGTATACTGCGCATTACTTCACTTTATTTCCACGTACAGTTGCAAGAAGTGGCTGTTAAAAGTAAAAAGTATAAAGAGATTACAGCTTTTCGCTCGCAATTATCTTTATACCATTACTGTCGTGTAACAGAATCATTGTTTGAGAAACGTTAGGCTTATTCATATAATAATGCTAGATAGGGCAGCCAAGTCAGTCAACGAAACTGTCGACCTTCTACGACATGCGTTGCACCTTCCGAGCTAATACCTACATCGGTATGCGATGATAGTCGCCTTAAAATTTGTTTGGAAGAAGGTTGAAAGTGGTCAAATCAAGACGGTACCATTCCATGAAATTCTTGACTTTTGGCTTGAGCCATGTAAGCTGTTAAGCTGAGATCCTGGAGACTATACGAATCGGTATAAGTACAGAATTCGGGCACTGTGGTAAAATGTAATTACACAACATAGAGGGATATGGCATAATAGATTATTGTTATTATTGTTATCATTATTACTTGTCCCTTGGGTTCCTAGTGGAACACAGGGCTTGAATAGCACGTCTCCACTGCACTCTGTTCTCTGCAGTCTTCAAAACCTGGCTCCACGACTGCCCACAAGCTTTCATTTCCTCCTCACATGATATCCTCGATGTCACCATCATCTGGGATGCCCAACTGGTGGTTTCCCCTTTGGATTGCACACCGAGGGCGTGGCGTGGAGCATGATGTCCCCGAATGGTCTTCTCAGTGTATGCCCAATCCACCTGTTGGGGACATGATGATAGGCACTCGGAAACTCAGTGTGCTCGTGGATGTCGTTTGGGTGACGATATCGGAGTAGATTATTGAGTGTGTAGTTGAGAGTTTGGAGAGTCCACTTCCATTCGATCTGCTTTTGCAGATTCCCAGTTCTTCTATCCTATACCTTCTCATTTCTTTCGGAATCTGGGGAGCCTTGCTAGGTTCCAACATTGCGCGGACATTCCATGTCCCTATGTTTACTTTCGCTTTCATCGAGATAGGGAAGACACATCGACGGATTGGCTTCCCGAAGGCTTTCACCAACTGGTGTTATTTCGTCTCTCGGATTCCAGTGAGGAATAGGTTTGACTTTATGTTCTGTATTTTGCTTGTGCTTAGGAGTTTTTTTTAGCGATTGGATTGGTTTTCTGAGGTAGGGTTGCTAGCCGTATACCCAACCTTCCCTCTTTACCTGGGCGTAGGACCGGCTAGTAACTAGTGACGTAGTTAACCAGGCGAGGTTATATATGTATAATTCTTAGCTTTTCATTTTTCAAAAGAAAATGCTTTCTATGGAATATTTTCAAAGGAAATAATTATTTCATCTGAAAAGTGCTAATAATAACAACATTAAATGCACTCATATGAAACGGGTAGCTAGTGTTACATTAACGTCTTGTCTGGAGTCAAGAATGAACACATGACTAGGTATGAAAATCTGGGATTCCATTTCGATATTTTAGGTATTAGGAATGTGCTTTTTTTCTGGGGATTTATAAGTTCATTGCCATCCGATATAACGTTTTTTTTTTTGTTTTATTCTTACTGAAAGGCTACCGAATATATATATATATATATATATATATATATATATATATATATATATATATATATATATATGGCTTTGTTTGTTACATGTATAACTAGTATAATCAAAATGTTTTGATTGAATCTTTGTTATTTACTATGATTTGTAGCCCAATGACAGCGATACACCTTCATGTTTGTCTGTATACGGAGAGACAACAAAAGAATTGTTTCAACAGTACAATGAACTGGAAAGTTCATTCATTTCAACTACAGTGCCCAATGGTAATCAGTTTGGTACAGCATCTAAATCATCATCTTGTTTTGATTATTATCCATTAATCAGTTCCTTATCACAAAATAATAGTGATTCACATATTGTTGCTATACAAAATGAAGATGATATCGAGTCAATATATGAGGATATAATTTCAATTGAACCAATATCTTCTAAAGTTAAAAATTGTAATTCGATACCTAATCCCTATCATCATCTGAATACTCCTTTATTATCATCGCATATCAGTGTCAATCACATTGAAGAGAATATCTATATGGAACCTGTTGACTGTTTAGGATTTGGATGCGTTGAAAGATATCATACTATTTCACAAAAGTTTATGGGTTCATATCCGTATGTGAATACATCATCGGTTACCACTGTATTAAGCAAGGAATTGTGTCATGCTTCAATCTCCTCAAGTATGTATTATTTCTGTATTCACCTATCATATTTTAAAAGGTTATCATATGAAGATATTTTTACTTTTTAAAAAATAGTAAATTTTTATTGCTTTCACTTTTTTTTATAGCAATTTGAACAGGAATATATAAAAATAGAAAAATATTATTGGTATTTATTGATACTAGTAATTTCCACTTGTTTTACCGGATCGAGTTGATCGTTTTCTATCAGCATATGGGCTCTTATGGGGGGGGACACCTGGTTAATGCCTGACGATTCATTATGTTATGATTTATTGGTGATGGCTAGCAGTGGAATCCAGGACCTGTGTTTCATCCTATTTGAGTTTCATCAGCTGAACGTACCTGCATCCCAGTGACTGACAACATTCTAACTGAGACTCGGACCCAGGACCTATTGCGTCGAACACGTTGAAGAGCCTCAAGTAAGGTGGAACATGGTTCCACGGCCAAGCAAATTATAAGTATTGCTGGTGTTTATTTAGTTAAATATACTTAATGGCAATGGATTTTATGAATAAAAAGGCAATGCGTTTTCTTAAAACCAACATAATTCGAATTTCTGCGGTTTAAATTCATTTCTTGGTCAACTTTTTGATTTGATTGAGTCAGTGAAATAGCATTTTCGCTTACCTCCTTTCTCTCTGCTTTTCAAATACTTTTTTGCCGAACATAAATATGATTATTCGGTTAGTTCATTGTATGTTAAGGTAAAACAGCTCTGGTTGAATATAATGTCTATCAGAAACTGATCCATGAACAAGCCAAAATGATTCTGTTTGACAACGATAACCTAATTTCACTGATGAAGTTATACACTTGTAGCTGTTCTAAAAACTTATAGGAGTGAGGGGAATGGCAAAGAGATGGAGAAACTAATCATCAAATTATTACTGTACTGTGTCATAGAAATAATTTTGTAGGTTTCACAAAGTCAAACTTCCGCGTATATACAAAATAACTATTATTCAGGACGATATAATCAGATTTATTTTGTATCTAACACTAAATAGCTGCGTAAAGGCGAAGTTGAAGGTCATTAGACAACTAATGGCTTCTATTTGTACACTGTGCCAAATAGGCCTTATTTATGCCATCTTTTCCTAATGGGCTCTTATTTACTATGACCTTCTACAGTAAATATTTTGAGGGTATACCTAATTTTTGGTCGTCATCCTGTAATTCTTCAGGTTGCTAAATAGGAAGTGTAATTTCCTCATTCTGCGATTTCATTCTTCGGAGAAAATTTTTCGTAGGGAACATTGATCATTCATTAAGATTTCTGATTTTGTTGCTCAGACGACTGCGTTGGTTTAAATAATATGAACTTGTTACGTTGATTCGTTTAATTCAGTGCGTCTTTTGTTTATAGAACATTCGACTAGTTTTGTCCCACCGTCTAACGCATTGAACAGTTGGGCTGGAAATGATGTAGGCTGCCGACGTGAACGTTATCGTTCGTTTAGTACACCTGAAGGATGTTCTACGACATCTGATGATACTGAAATACATTATACTCGTGAATTTCCAACCAGATTTTCATCCAATAATAATTTCCTAAAAAATATTATGCATCCTTTCTCTGCAAATCAAATTAATTTCCGCTCTGTAAGATCTAGTCATGCTAATGGATCTTGTAATGGACTTCATTTGGACTCAAATTGTAACACTACAGCATTGTCATCAACTACCTCACCTTTAAAAACTCGTATGCATAGTACAGATGCAGTTTTTGAAACATTAACACATTATAGTACTCCTGTAAGTTCTCCAGCTTCAATCACTTTGAGTGATGATATCAGTGAAAATGCGCTGCTCAGTGATGAATTTTCTAAATTCTCAACTATACGTCCACTATCCCTTCCCAACCCCCTATCTCGTTCACATCATCATCATTTCTGGCACCATCCAAAATGTCCTCACTATCAAATTCATCGAGATTCTCTGGACAGTGGTTTGGGAACTGCATCCACATCTTCATCCAAAGTAAGTCTCATTTTTGTTTTTCGTAGTCATAATCATCAGCAACATATTTCAGAATGTTGTTAGCAGCCCTCTGTTTTTCAGTGTATCGGATACATGGGTATTTGTCAAATATTTATTCTCCTTGGCTTTAAAAAAGTTCTATAGAAACTTTAATATAGAAGCGGCTTCTCTAATGGGTTCATTGTTGGGTCCTCTCCTAGCTGATTGTTTCATGGCTAATCTGGAAAACAGTGAACTGCGTCCACTGATCGACCATTTCCATATATATTAGAGATACATGGATGATATTTTCATCACGTGAGGAGAATGGTAACTGTGAAGAAATACTGCGAAAGTTCAATAAATATCATGAGTCAATTAAATTTACCAAATAGACTGAAGACAACTCAGAATTCCACTTCCTGAAGGTTCTGTTGAAAAGAAGGTATGTTGGTTCCCTAAAAAGATCGATATACAGAAAGCGAACCTGGAATTTTCAAAGCTGTGTTCCACTAGTCAGGAAAGCAAATCTAATTCATTCATAATGTACATGAATTAGAAGAATTTGTACGGATGATGCATTAAATGATGAGCTGGAATTACTTTGAATAGTGTTAATCGAGAATAGTTATCTTTCAGGATTCACATTGAAACATGAACCCTAAGAATTTCAAAGTAGAAGCTCCTACGGTTCCGAAAAAGACACTATTTATGAATATCGGATTCAAGGGAGATACATTTACAAACATACTAAAGAATCGACTGGGCAAAACACTAAAGAAGACCTTGTTTTCTTTTCAGCTTCGGATTGTTTTCTCCAGTGAACAACAACTGATTCAAGAGTCTGTAAAGGATAGACTACCACTTCGGGCCACTTCCATGTGTGCTTACCAATTCACCTGCTTTTATGAAGCTGGTTACATAGACGGAACAAAGCGTATTCTATCGAAATACATCTCCGAACACTATCCTAGATGGCTGTCTTAAGGACAGTGTAAAGCCGTTAACAACTCAATTCTTAAGCATTTAGTTATTTCTGGTCACTCTGCTCTACTAGTCTTCTCTTATAGTCATTTACAAAGTCAAAGCAAATATTTTGAATGGAGTGCGTATTCGCCACCTTATGACAGCACAAGCTCTGGCAATTCATCACTACAAGCCTACTCTTTGTGTTCAAAAAAGATACATTCAATCTCTAATTTTGTCTTGGTTGTAATCCCCCTAAGGCAGTTTATTCATTTCTATGTTTATTCACTATAATCCTACAAGGAATTTTGGATGACGTTGATTTGACCTTCTAGTCTTTATCACCTTGTGACTTTATTGACCGTTTTTGCATATGAATTATGTTGGTAGGAACTGATGTATTGTTTTACATCCATCCTCTAATCAAAAGTAATTAGGGGTTTTTTGAATGTGAAAATTCAGGTTTTAACCTGCAGTTTACTCTTTATAAACATATAAGTGAATCAGCCTACCGAAAGACTCTTTCCATCAAATTTACATCTTGACTAATTAATGAATATAACATTGGAAACATTAGTCTGAGGCTTTGCAGCTTCGCAATAGTAGTGGTCTTTTTTCGAGTATCGTATAGTTTAATCATAAAGTTCCAAGCAAAGATTAAGCAGAACATTACTAGAGTGGAATCCGTATCGATAGCATTTCTGAAGGCATTTTCTTTTTCAACCTATTACTTGTAAATTAGAATTCAGGATGAATGTATCATATATATTATCGTTTACAAACAGAATTGTCTCGATATCAAAACTACCAAGTGTAATCAGAAAAGTCAGAACTTATAGATTTGATACTCGTAAAGAAGTCGCAAATACTGACTTATTATTGAAGTTAGAGTTTATAATGCCTAGAATGACAATGAAAACCTTTTCAAAACCTGAAGGGTTTAGGTTCGATCCCTGGTGGGGTCATGGGTGCGCACTGCTGAGAAATCCCATTATAGTTGGACAAAACAGCTGTCCAGTACTCCGAGGTTTCCAATGTTCCTCCAACTTATATCAGTCCCTGATAAATACCAACTTGAAGTCAATAAATCACTACAAATTCCTAAATTTACTTTATATATTTTCGAGAGACTTGGCCAGTTTTAGTCGTCTTATATCCGCTCTGCTCTGCTTAACTTTATCGACGTAACTGAGAAACATAGACTTTAATTCCTGCGGTAGGTCATCAACCGCGAATTTCAATTCGGTGACGTGTATTTGTTTTGCACCCATTGTTTGTTGAAAATATTCATTTAAATCTCGGTCGAAGTCCCTACGACTTTTTTTAACTGATTCAAACGGTTATGCCAGAGTTTTTTTTATTTTTGCATCGCCTCACATAGCACTCCTTCAATATTGGATTTCAGTATGAAAGGAGACATAATATTCTAAAATCAAGCAGATTACACCACACTTTTGTGTCATTTTAATGTGGTAGTCGACTATATACCCCTAATCTTGCATAGCTTTTACCTGATGTTTAGCCTATAACCTTAAAATAGCCTATCATGGCTATTTTTAGTTCGTTACTGGTTTTTCTCCCCTCTGCTCTCAAAGCTTGAACTCTCATTGGTTGTCAACTATTTCTACCTATACGTGAATTTTGTATTGTCAAGGTCGTTTATAAAATGTATATAATCAGCACCGCTGTCAACTATATTGGCCGTTGTTGAGACAGTAAAAATATATCTATCATTTCTCCATCTTCTATTTTTGTCTTTGCGCCTCAGTAGTATTATTGTGGTGATAGTTGACGCTCTGATTTGCGTTCGAGTCGATTCATTTACGATTTAGGTTCATATTACTCGTAAACTGTTAGGTCGTACTACCGGTCATAGCATGATAACATTGCAAACTTGATTGATAGTATTTTGAACTTGACAACTACTCTCAAATAGCTAATTTAGGTGTATAAATATTATTTTCCCCAGAATATTTTCTTTATATCCGATTCGTATTGAACTAGCCAGTTGATGACCTGTAAATATTTGTTATTTTCTGTTATTTAGTTCGGCTTTCAGTCTCAGTCTACAACAGATAATATTAACTACGATTTATGTAAAAATAATACAAACAATTCCAATACACTTTCATGTGATTGTACGTTACCTACGAATCCATCTCAAAGAATAAATCAATGGTATCCCTGTAAATTGTCTTCATCCTGTGTATCCTCATCTTCCTGTTGTACATCATCTTGCAACAGTACACCATCGAATCCAATTTTTATTGATCCCTCAGATTTTCAAACTCACCATCCAACACAATGTTTATCGTTTCCATCGTACAATTTTCCTTTAGTGACTAATCATAATTATCGTGTTACTTGTGATCAACCATCTCCTTCTTCGCATAGTCAGAGTTCTGTGAGTATGAAAGATTTTAAATGGCTTCGCCGCAGTAAACCGGTATGTTTCCATTTATTTTTTCAAAGATACCAATAATTTTAAGCAAAACTATTTGAAAAGTTACTAACGATGAAGAAGTACCTAGTAGGTGTTTTGATTAGGTATGAGACGTTAAGCATTACTCAAATTAAAGTTCATAATCTCTTGTTCTTTTGGTACATTTAATCATATTTCTTTAGGCCTAAACGGTTAACAATACTCAAAACCATTTTCTGTTATTTGTTGATTTACATGATTAACGCTGAAAAATCTTGACTTTAGGCTCAATGGTTGCATTTCCCTTTGAATTGGTTAACAAATTCATTTTAATTTAGAAGTAGTACTCATCATGGACTGACATCATTTCGGGGACCATTGGAAATCTGGCAGCACTTGACAGCTGTTTCGTCCTAGTATGCGATTCCTCAGTAGTACGCATCCCATGACCCGGCTACGGATCGAACTGACGACCTTCAGGTTTCACGGCGAACGCATTAACCATTCAGCCACTGGGTTGGTTTCCAGTGGTTCACAATTTCCAACTTCTATCAATTCACGACATAGCGCGACTATCACCCAAGGTCTTCAGTTAGCATCCACTTCACATCCGACTGATTGACCCCACAGGTCACGGCTTCTCATTAGAGCTTCGTGATATCCATCTGGAAGCAAGTCACTAATGAGCACTATCCAGTAATGAGAAGTGGATGCTAACTGAAGACCTTGGATGACAGTCACGCTATGTCGTGAATTGACAGAAGTTGGAAATTGTGAACCACTGGAAACCGACCCAGTGGCTGAATGGTTAATGCGTTCGCCGTGAAACCTGAAGGCCCTGAGTTCGATCCGTAGCCGGGTTGTGGGGTGCGTACTGCTGAGGAGTCGCATACTAGGACGAAACAACTGTCTAGTGCTCCCAGGTTTTCAATGGTTCCCCAACTGATATCAGTCCATGATGAATACTACTTCTAAATTAAAAATCCCCATTCATCTCAAAAATGCATAACTTCATTTTACTTCCTGATACATTACACATATGGAGTTTTCTCTTCAGAGATTCAAAACAATTAGTTCTCTTCATAAACTTTGCGACAGCAATAAGAAAACGTAATTTGTGTGATTTGTGCGACATATTTTGAACAATCTGATCACAAACGTGTACTTCCACGTTTGTAACTTGTTTTTCTTTTCTATACACTTTTCTTGTCTATAGCTAAGACTTTTTGGAAATAGTCGTTTATCAATGGAAACCCAAACTCGTACTTATTCACCTCCGTCAATGACACCATCTGCACCACCGCCTATTCCACCACCACCACCACCTCCTTCGCTTCCTATTTACTCTTCATTCTCTATCAATACACCAAAAAAGTACACCTCTACTGTTGTTAACAACTGTAATTCAACATTACATCCATCAGGCAGTAACCATTTGTTGACGTCATCATCATCATTGCATTTAGAATCTCAACAGCTGCCTGTGAGTTGACATTCTAAATTTCAAATGTATAATATGTTTTTTATGTTCTTATGAGGAGCGATTGTTCATAGTAGTGCCTTTGAATATACTAATTACTTATGTTTTGAGTGAAATGTGAATAGATTTATTTCCCATTTTCATATTATATTGGAATAAAGCAAACACATGAGTATAAAATGTTAACGAGCATAAACGAAACAGACATTTACATGATTGCTTATTCATGTAGATTGTTATATTTAATGTAAACACATTTGGTTAGTAGTCAACAAGAAGAAAAACCAAGAAATGATAATCGTAATATCAACAGTTGTAAAAGCAATAGTGTAGATAAATGTACATCTTAGATGAATATAAGGGATGAATACATTCAGTCTATTAAGATCAGTTTTAAGCTATTCCTTCTAGGTGCGTTAACTATCTGTACTAGTTGTCCTCATAAGTCCTGAATAGGTTAACAGTCAAAGATCGAATAGCCTGTCTTGATTTGACCATTGTCAAGCTGAAGGTTCAGTACATCAATCACATCAACTTGTATCTAGTATCTTTAGATATGACTTATTTTTCAAAATATTGAGATGTTTCTTGTGCTAGATAAAAACAGTAGAAGATGATTTTCTTCCATTTATTACTTAGCCGTATCATCATTATGTTATTATAACGATTTCGAATATATCAAAAAATGTGTTACGTTTTTTAAAATCAAATCTATACAATAGTTAGTATAAGGATAAAAAGAAAACAATACCGTTATGGGTTGTTTTAACTTCCCATTGGATTATTGTTTATTGAAAATTACCTTTAAGGTTAGCATGTGATAAACATTATGCTTTTTTTTTAGTGGTTTTTATTTCCTTGTTGAAGTGTTAGACAAACAATCGATTCATTTAGAATCATATCAGTGTATTTTATTCAGTACAACAATATTATTGTTATTTCCAGTCGTATCATTGATCTTTTTAGTACTGGTTATGTATCATGATGTTCATTTTTTCATAATTGTTGTACACTGATTCATTTGTTTAAATTGGAAAAATTTTATGTTTGTCATGGAGATGCTGTGCATAAACCTTTACCATAGTTATTCCTGTTCATTTTGTATTGTAATCCTATAAAATATTTTCATTTTGACTATCTGAGATAACTGTGGTTAAACAAACTAGTATTGATATAGGGTGATGATTGAAAGTGAAGGTAAAAGCTGATCAGCAGTTAGTAAAGCATTGAGTCAGAAACCCGGTGTGATCCACTAGTTCGAATCCGATTATTGTTCAAATTTTTATTTCACCTTCAATTATTAACTAGTATTGATAAAATATTTGTTATTCAACTACTTACTTCAGAGTATGTTAAATTACTGAAAATTGATTAGCACTAAGCGTTATTACTGAATGAATAACTGGCGATATTTTGAACTATGACTTAGTGTAACTGGAGATAGCTTTTTTTGACTTCTAACAGATTTTCTTTTACATAGGTCTATTATTTTAACACTGAGGTATTCCCCTAGTACTTTTACTGATTTATATAACTGATGAAGTTCAGACAGAGACAAAACGGATATTCTAACCGATTGATTTTAAGTTTTTATACGATCGATATTGGTTTAAAGTGAACATTGTTGATAATACTACTACTAGATTGTGATTTATTGATCAACGATTCTTGGGGAGATTAAGTGAGAAACATACCTATGCAATTCAATTAACCTACTGCATTAGAACTTGAAATGGGATTTGTTTTATCGTATATTAATGCTGATCCACATAAGTGCATGATTATATTTCTATAAGCCTTCATCACCATCAGCATCATCATCACTATCAATATAGGACCAGGCATTACTGCATAACGATCCGAGTTACCACACCTCATATCAGTACACCAAGTAAAAAGGCAGTGGGGCGCAAGATGGAGATAAGACAATTCAGTCAAAAGAAATATAAAGTACGAAAAGAGAGAAACGAAGAAAGATAAAGTGTTGAGATTCGGTATAGCGTCGTTAAGATGAGGATAATGTATGTATACATCTGCTCCATTGACATCGATTCTCAGCCATATCACCTAGAGTCAGTCTCCAACCACTGGTTCCTCTTGTCCCGCCGACCCCAACCACCTAGTCTGCATCGCCCACATGGCTCAAACCAACAGTCACAGACTTCATACATTGGTGCCATGTCTTAGTCTGGTCACCTCGGGCCTTTTTCCAGCCTGGACCCACCTCAGCCAACATTGTGTGACGAGGCAATCGGTGACTCGGCATATGTAGTACGTGTCCCAACCATCTCAATCGATGAAGGTTCACAACCATGTCAACTGACTTAACTCTTCTCCCTTGCTAAAACTCTACACCTGACTTCTGCATTACTCACGTGGTGACACCACGGAATACATCCTATACTACGAAGGCAACGGTGGTCAAACACTGGAAGCCTTTTTGTATCCTCCACTTTCAATGGCCATGTTTCACAGCCATACAGTAGAACAGAACGGACTGCTGTGCAGTACACGCGACCCTTAATAGACAATTGGATATCACGGCGGTGCCACAGGTGGCGTAGGTTGGCGAAAGCCAATCGAGCCTTTTGTATCCGTGCAGAGATTTCACCGGCCACTGAGCCAGCAGAGCAGGTCTGATTTTACTTCCCAGGTAAGTGAAATGGTCGACACACTCAACCACTACACTGTATATTGTTAGCCATGGTGGGGCACCGTTGAAGACCAATCCATGAGCAGCAATTTGCATTTCGGTGGTGAGAACCGCATCCCATCTATAAGCCTTAGTTGAACAAGATTAATAGAGGATTGTCGCTCTTTCTGGAGTACCTATTTGAACTTTGATCACGCATTAGCACGAGCACGTGTATATCTGCGCATTACTTATCTCAAAAAACAGGTATCAGGGACGTATATGTGCGTTTGATCGGAAGATAAGAATGTCAGGTACGTACTTAGCCAGGAGATGACTAACCATTCATTTGAAAGTGACAGCAATTCTCGTCTTGAGGAAGCCTGGTATGATATTCAGTCTGCCATGAAAACGGAATTGAAAACAGTTGGTAGCCTATATCTGCAGCTTAGCGAAAACCGGCAGGCTTCCACAATGTCATCTGAACAGATTTATGCTAGAAGACTTGTTTCATCTCTGTCTTACCACAAGGAGCAGGGAATCAACTCAAATGTAAATCGACTGAGAGTCTTCGCAATAACCGCGGGCAGTGGTGAATGGTGAGAGCCAGAGAGGTGGAGAAGGCATCAGAATTAGGTGATGCTAATCATTATCAACATCCACACCGTAGTCGTTACGATTGTTCTGGTCAATATTAAGCCCCCAGCCCGTACATTTGTGCTGAAGAATGACGATGGGAACTTTTATTGTTATTATTGTTATCATTATTACTTGTCCCTTGGGTTCCTAGGGGAACATAGGGCTTGAATAGCACGTCTCCACTGCACTCTGTTCTCTGCAGTCTTCAAAACCTGGCTCCACGACTGCCCACAAGCTTTCATTTCCTCCTCACATGATATCCTCCATGTCACCATCATCTGGGATGCCCAACTGGTGGTTTCCTCTTTGGATTGCACACCGAGGGCGTGGCGTGGAGCATGATGTCCCCGAATGGTCTTCTCAGTGTATGCCCAATCCACCTCCCCTTTCTTCTGCATACTTGTTGAGTGATGGGTTCTTGGTTAATTCGTCGCCAGCCAGCCAACCAGCCAGTCAGTCAGCCAGAGTTGCTTGTTCGTCATTCTTTCTGGCCATCGATCTCATCTTCAGTATTGAGTGAACGTAGGTGGCAGCTGTTGACGGATGTGTGTAGTTTGTTGGAAGTGGTTTTCGTGACGCACCAAGTTTCTGAAGCATATAGAATCACTGACTGACTTGACTGGATTAGTGTTGAAAATCCGGATGTTGTTCACGCTTTATGCTGAGTGCAACACAGTGTGGTGCAGTGCAGTGCAGTGCATTGCAGTATATCTCCACATTGATTTCAATTTAACGAAGGCCTGTCTTGTTGTCTTTCCGATGCTGGTTGCTTTGACATTCTCATCTGTATCTGTGTCGCTACCGCCGACTGTAGTTGAGACGATACTGTCTAGGTAGGTGAAAGAGACAACTTCCTTTAGGTTTCTCCCATTTATGGTGATTGGAGCTTGTTGGTGGTGGTGGTGGTGGTGTTGGTTGGGTATCTTCATCACCTCTGTCTTCTCTACGTTCACCTGAAGGAAGTGCCGTCTAGTCTGCCGTGTCTCTTCTGTCAACTTGGTAGTTTTTTCCTGTAGATCTTCGAGTTTTGCCGTGATATTCGTTTGTCTATGAAGGGTCGCGTGTACTGCACAGCAGTCCGTTCTGTTCTACTGTATGGCTGTGAAACATGGCCATTGAAAGTGGAGGATACAAAAAGGCTTCCAGTGTTTGACCACCGTTGCCTTCGTAGTATAGGATGTATTCCGTGGTGTCACCATGTGAGTAATGCAGAAGTCAGGTGTAGAGTTTTAGCAAGGGAGAAGAGTTAAGTCAGTTGACATGGTTGTGAACCTTCATCGATTGAGATGGTTGGGACACGTACTACATATGCCGAGTCACCGATTGCCTCGTCATACAATGTTGGCTGAGGTGGGTCCAGGCTGGAAAAAGGCCCGAGGTGACCAGACTAAGACATGGCACCAATGTATGAAGTCTGTGACTGTTGGTTTGAGCCATGTGGGCGATGCAGACTAGGTGGTTGGGGTCGGCGGGACAAGAGGAACCAGTGGTTGGAGACTGACTCTAGGTGATATGGCTCAGAACCGAAGTCAGTAGCGCAGATGTATACACACATTATCGTCATCTTAACGACACTATACCGAATGTCACCATTTTGTCACTCCTCTTTCCTTTCTTTTCGTACTTTATATTCTTTTGACTGCATTCACTTATCTTCATCCTTCGCCCCACTGCCTTTTTACTTGGTGTACTGATATGAGGTGTGGCAACTCGGACCGTTACGCAGTAATGCCTGGTCCTATGTTGATAGTGATGATGATGATGATGATCTTCGAGTTTGTGCTACAAGACACTAGACATAAATCATCATCGTTGGCGAAATCCTAATCTGCTAGGGTCTTTTCATCGGTCAAACAACGTATGCTCATCTTCTCGCTCCTCACGGTTTGCTGGATGATGCAGTCGAGTCCAGTCGACCACAGTCAGGAAGATGCTGGGTGATAGTAGGTATCAACCTTGTCTTACTCCTGTTTACACTTCTGAGGCGTCACTGAGCATTGCATTGTGAATCACCCGGCATGTGGCATCTTCATATAGGTTGATGAAGGTTTGTGGCACTAAAAGCGTAGTGTTGAAGCAGTTGCTGAAATGCTTCTCGGTCCATGCTGTGGAAGGCCTTTTGAAAGTCGATGAAGTTGAGGTAGAGAGTTGACTGGCATTCTACGCTTTGTTGTATGATGATGCGTAGCGTAGCGTTGCAACTAGATCCTCACATGATTTGTTCTTCCTGGAGCCAGCCAGCCAGCCAGTGTGTCGCTGTCGTAATTTTGAATCCTGTTCATCTTTTAGTCTTTGCAGGATAGTGCGGCATAATATTTTACTTGAGGTGAACAGGAGTGGAGCATGATTCTGTGCCAGTTCTCGCAAAGACTTAGGTCTCCCTTCTTTGGGAGTTTGACAATGTAGCCCTTCTTCCAGGTAATCTGCAGGTACCTTTCTTTCTTTCGTTGCAAACCTTGTGCACTAGTGGTGTGAGCGTGTTCGCTGTTGTCTCTGTGTCTGTTTTAGGTGCTTGTGTCGGAATTCCGTCTGGTCGTTCTGCTTGCCCGGATGTCACAAACTTTATGGCGTTCATGACTTCACTTCTGCTTTTTCGGAAGGCTTGTGTTCACTGTTAGTTCTGTGACTGGGCTGCTGGTGGTATTTCTGGACGAGTTGCAGGTGTTGTTGGTTGATTAGAGTTTTTTGAAGTGGTCAGTCCATCGTCTCTTTTTCCCTTGTTCCTCCTGTTTGGTGGTAACTAGGTTTCCTTCATTATCTTTCATTGTTTTCATCTGTGTTGATCTCTTCCCAGATGGTATTTTGGTTATTTGATATTTGATATAGTGTTGTCAGGTCTCTTTCTCTCCTGCAGGCTGCAGCTTGTTCTGCTTCATTTGCCAGTATGTCGTAGAAGTGTCTTTAGTCTTTGCGTGCACTCTTCTTCACTTCTTTGTCCAGTGTAGTGTTTTATAGGTTGTATCCAGTTCCTCTTTTCTTTGTTCATCCTTGCACTGCACTGCACTCTACTGCACTGGTTCATCTTCTTCTTCACCATCACCATCTTCCTCTCCCTGCTCTATTAGCTTCCATGTGTCCGTTGAGATCCATTCCTTGTCGTGTTTAGTTTCTTCTTCCCTCCTAATACGGTTATGCAGATTTCTTTCCATATCTCTCTCAAAGATTTCCAGTGTTCATCCACGGAAGTTTGTTCAGGGATGTTGCTCGATGTCTCTTTTTTTTCCTGATGACTGACTGACGTGAAGATGTGCTTTGTAGTTTCATCCTTTAGTTTATTTTCTGTTGTGGGTGTTGAACGTGAACTGTGGTGTATCACCAACTTGTTTGATGGCTTTCAACTTGATTTTGAAGTTAGGTTCCTTGGAGTAGATAGTGCGTGGTGTGAACGTACATGTGCTCCTCTTCTTGATCTTGTGTTCAGTAGGCTGCTGCGTCTCCACTTGCTTGAGATTGCGCTGAATTCGATCTGACTTATAGTGTAGTGTGTCCTGGTATCTAATTAAATAAAATCCATGTCGCTGCCTTGTGAATATCCTTGTGTTTGTACACACTGCCTCGCCTCCAGTCACCAAATGGTTGTATGCTCAGAAGTCTGAAGGCAGTTCTCTATTCTCGTTGATTTCATCGAGTGCTTGTCGACCGATGATTGGTTCTGTTCCTGAGTTGTCCGTTCGAGTTTGTCATTGATGTCACTCATTAGAATTTTGATGTTGCCAACTGGGGTGAGGTCTTGTCAAGTATTGATTGGAGTTGTCTGTAGAATTCCTGCTTCTTCTCTTGATGTGGATTATTTGTGGGTGCGTATCGTAGCTTGGTATTGTATGATTGTGACTTTGCTTCCTTTTGAGTTGAATGTTGCTGTCTTGATCCTGATGGTGGAGGAGGAGATTGGTTCGCACTGCATGGGAGAGAGCCTTCGATGCTGTTGGGGACATCATGATAGGCACTCGAAAACTCAGTGTGCTCGTGGATGTCGTCAGGGTGACAATATCGGAGTAGAGTATTGAGCGGGAAGTAGACAATAGTCATCCAAATCTCCTCTAACTTGAGAAGGCTGTATCGAGCCTGAAACGATGTGAAGTGGCAGGACCTGATGGTTTGCCACAAAAGCCCTCTACAGAAGAAGGCAGAGAACTACTGAGTAGAGTAACTGAGATACTGGATATTGTACGGAAATCAGAGGTATTCGTGTCAGATCGTTGATCATTAGAGTCCGTAGGAAAGGATAGAAATTACGTAATGATCAGGAAGGAAACTGCTTGGCTAACATCATATCTAGGATGTTGAAGTCCGTATTTATCCGATGCCTAACAACAAACCCGAGGGGACCGAGCAGGTCTCAGATCATAACGAGGATACATTAATCAAATCCTTATCACTTAACAGGTTTTGCAGCATAACCTTACTGGGTGGCGAACGACACCCACACTATATTACCTGACCAAAATGTGACACTAGCCTCTTTCGACCGAGGAGTTTTGTGTCAACATTTGTTTGTGAATGATGTACCGAACAAGCATGTGATAACATGCAAATCTCTGCTCATACTCACACAGTCGTATCAGGGCTTTCAGAGAGTTGTCATCTGAAGTGACGAGAACCAGTGGTGTCCTCCAGGGTTGCGCACTGTTGTTGGATAGGGAATGAATTGTTAGAATGTGTTCATCATCTACAGGAAATACCTAACTGTTGCCAAATTCCTGCCCAGCTAGCAGTACCAGTTCCCCCACTGCTCCCCAAAAGAATCCTATCATAAACTGCCGATTTACACTCTAACTGTAACTGCTTTTTGTCTTACCATCACTCCACGGGACTTTAAGGGATTACATTTTTCACGAACACAGCTTGTTGGGTTGTTGTGATATTGAAGCCCGACCACCACGTCAAGGTAGCAACTATAGTTCGGGAAGACGATTAGAGCGGTAAACAGAACACTTCGAGAAACAGTCCAACTGATTTTCAGTCTCAACTCTGTTCCACGCTATCCGAGTAGATCCTGAATAAAATCAACAGTCAGACCCAACTGTTGTCGAAGTTGAGATAGCCGTTATTAACCTGAGACAAAGAAAGGGAGCAGAACGAGATGATCTCTCATAGGGGGTATTTAAAGACGATAGTCGACGATTGTTGAACATTTTAACCGAAATGTTAGCTATCGTATCTTGATCAAATATTATCCCTCTTGACTGATCCAAATCGCTGATTGTTCCAGTCTTCAAGAAGAGCGAGACGTCTTCTTGTAATAACCACAGGGGACTTAGTCCGTCAGATATAATGCTTGATATTTTCGGTTCTGTAGCTATGAAACATCTAAGTGAAGTTCGGGGACAGCGTATCGGAGAAAACCAGACAGGTTTGAGACCTGGTCGTCGTAGATGTATCGACTAGACATTCAGTCTCAGTCAGGTTATGGAACACAGACATTCGTGTGGACGCCCGATACTTGTTATACTTCCCGATCTTAAAATGACATTGAACTCTGTCGATCGAGAGGTCTTATGACTGTCTCTTACTGAAAGAAATGTTGAGTGAGTATATCATTGTTGAAGATTGTATTCTAATATTCGTGGGGTTGTTCATACAGCCTATGGTATTACCTCAGGTGAGTGGAGCACATGGAGGAATGTCTGATTAAGAATGTTGATTCTGTTTGTTTTTATTTAACTTTGTCATGGACATGTTTGTAGAGGTCTTCGTCTTGTTGTCTGACTTTAGGGGGATTGACGTTGCGACAGAAGACCATTTAGTATCAGATGAGATTGTGGTGTTATGTGAAGATGTTGACAAGGTGTATAGTGTTCTGGACAACTTGATTGAGCATTTGTGAATGTTTAGGATGGATTTGTGAACGGCGAAATGCGAATTATTGATGGAGAGGTGATCTTCGTAGGTGTGTTGTGTAATAAAGAAGGGTGAGTGTGTTTACCAGTTGACTTAGGTGGATAGCTGGATCAACTGTGGTGGGTGAGTGACTAATGAGATGTTTGCATGGATGGAAAAGACTTGGTTGACCGTTGATGGTGTGGTGGTTGTATGTGATTGGTTTTTAAGTGTTGAGTGTACTGTGCTACAGTTGGGTGTGTTGAGTGATATGACTGTGAGACATGGTGATTATGAGAGAAGGGGGATACGGTGTGTTGAAGTTTTTGAGCACTGTATATTGTTGCGACATGATATTATGAACGTAGAAGACTTGGTATAGTTTTGGGGAGAAAGGGTAAGTAATTTGATGAGTTTTTGAACCATTATGGATTCAGATGGTTTTTGTATGTGATATGTCTCTTTGGTTGTACAGTGTTTCGTGTAGTAGTTTCAGACTGGAAACAAATTAGATTCGACCATTCTTGTGAAGCATGTAGGAAAACCTAGACTTCGCGGTGTAGGTCCACGTGACATAAAATCAGTAGTTGAAGACTCTAGGTGGTTTGGTTGAGAATGGATCACAAACCATACATGTATCCACTATTTATGTTTATCCTAATCATCATAACGGAATTCATCCTAATTATCTTATTACTACTTTCTACCACTTTTGTTTGCTTTCTTCTTCGTTTCTCATCTTGTTTCCTTTTATCTTGATGTGCCTATATGGTGTGATGAACCGTTGCGCAGTTATTTCAGGTCGTGTGTTAATTTTGTCGAACTAGGTGATTGAAGAAAGGAAGATATGAAGAGGTTACAGGTTTTTAATTACAATTGTCTTTGCAGTGTTGTTCGCGTGTATTGAAATCACCATATGAGCAAAAGGTGAGTAAGGTTATTCAGTCGATGACGTTATGAACTCTCAGTGACTGAGTTGACTTGGGCATGTGTAACGCCTACGATGTTAACCAAATCAGTTTGGGTAGGTAGGAGTCAAAGGATGGTTAGATCGAGAGGTGACATCAGTCCATGAAGTCTTTACCTATTAGTCTAAGTGGTGTAGGTTGATGCAAGTTGTCTAGTTGTCAGAGGCACTCTTCATGATGACCTTCAATGATGACAACAGGACACAAATGAGGGATATACGTTACTAATCCTCAACATTCCATTTTTCTCAAAGCAATGAAACTGTGCTCCCACGAAAATTACTGTCCAATAAGCAAGAATCACCAATCCCATTCACCCATTTGACCCTCTCACTGTATGAACATTTATCAATCCTCGAATTATTCAAATTTCTTGACTGTCATATTGGCAATGAAAATCTGGACAAACAATAAAATCCAGGAGATTAGCTCACCTGTTAACTTTAAAGTGAACTTATTCACAGTAATGCTATGCAATAGACTTCTCTAGTACTTCATCAAACAGTGAATATACCTCCTTGATAATGCTGCATACCTTAACGTGAACAGTATGGAAAACCCATTGCCATTGGTCCGCAGTTTTTTTCAAATGTTTATTCCTTTTGCATCACAATATCTAATTCTGATGGCATAAATCTATATTGCTGTGAATGATAACAGTTGAATACATATTCACTTGGATTACATGATTGTGTAGAAACTTACAGATTCTCAACATCGTCAGTGTGGGCTTTTTTGGTCTCCGAAGGTGATAAGCATAGGAATTTATGGTAAAATGAACGTTTATTTAGCGTAACGAGGCATTGCGAAGACGAATCAAACAAGTCGACTGCTTGTAACAGAAATTTGGAATTTTGCGCCACCTTGGTGCAACCACTGGTGAAAAAAGAAAGTATGACTAAAAAGAATCTAAACTTTAAGACTCTGTATATGCTGAAAATTGGTATTTTCTTGTTTATTTCATAACTTGTGGAATCTTCTGATGTTTTTAATTGAATTTACTGACCTCCCTTCCATACCATTCAGGTCCCGTACAATCTTGTACATTTTCCAACATATTTCAATGTGATGATGCCTGTAAACTGGCTTCTCTCATATTAAATTACTAATATGAGAATAAAATATTTATTTGTTTATTATTATTATTATTATTATTATTATTATTATTATTATTATTATTATTATTATTATTATTATTATTATTATTATTATCCTAATCGTCAAATCGCATTCCGTTAGATGTACCTCATCTTTATCTTTTCTGATAATATTTCATGTAGCTGCTTGTTTCGTTACGCAGAATTGATGTGTCCCATGTTAATATTGACTAAATAATTTTACATTTTCAAAACCTTATTCAATGATTTTCAGGTTGGTAGCTTAAATCCATCACCACCTGATGTAAAAGTTTTTAACTTGTAACATGTATGCGCTACTGTGGTCTTGTTTAAGCATCTGATTTTTAGTGTTCCTTTTGCGTTAGTCTTGTTTTAAATTGTGTTTATATGATTTATTGTTACATAATTGATAGTACTGTGTTCCTTTTTTTTTTTCTTGGGGAAGAAATTTATTGGTTATGAATTAAACTGTATTTTCTTTTCTTATCAATTTCAGGTTACTCGATGTCAACCTTTATTGAAGAGTTTATCTGGTTGTTCATCACTTGTAAATAATGCATCTAAACTATTTGGTTTTAATAATACTAGTACAACTATTACCACAACAAGTATATCCTCATCTCCATACAAATAACAATGTGATGATAATCTTCAAATAAACAAAAAAGGGAAACAGATTTCATTATTTCTTGTGTTATACAGTTATTCTTTCGATAGATTTATTTGTTTATACTCTTTTTAAATTAAGATTTTATTCATTTTATTGACTGTGTTATCAATAATGTCATTATCTACAGTCCATTATTACAACCAGTTCAAGAACTTTATATAATGCGCCTGTTGAATAAGATGACAACGTTGTTCATCTTACTTTTATTCTGTTAATAGTTAGCTTGTTTTTTTATTCACCGCTTTCTCATGTAAGTTAATAGATGTTAACTTTTTCTTTTCCATTCTACTTTTATAATCAACATTTTGACTATATGAGATAACCGGGATGATTTAGGTGGAATGAAAATTTGGACTGCAGTCGACTTCAAACCAGTGACTATTGGGTTTTCGGCTCGATACTCTAACCAACTGAGCTATGAGGTCCGACTGCTGACCAGATTTTTATTTCACTTCAATTATAAGCTGGGTTTTACCCAACTAATATATGAATTCGTCATGCGTCACTATTTCTTGATTGTATTTATACTGGCTGCCCGAGATGAGAAGTCAGAACTTCTCGTAGCTCAATTGATTGAGTATTGAGCCGAAAACTTGGCGGTCGCTGGTTCGAAGTCGACTGCAGTCCAAATTTTCATTTCATCTTCAATAATCATCCAGTTTCCTAATTAATTATGTTGATGTAGATTTTTGTTAAACAACTGTTTCACTGATGTGGTTAGTTTTTTATCATATCAATTGGAGAATTTGATCAATGATTTTTTGTTTCCAAAGTAGGTTGGAATCTTTGATAATAATACCTTAACAAGCTTGATTACACACAGTACATTATCCATCTTGTTCATTAGTCATTGTTTGCAAGTGTGATACACAATCGAATAACAAAATTCAATATGTTGGATAAGAATACCGATCTCAATCTGTAATCAAATACTTAAAATACACAGTCATTCTAGTGGAGAATTGTTGGGATATGAATTTAGATTGATAAAAAGGAGTTGTGGAGATTTGGAAATATTTCAAGTTGTTATTCATCGTAGACTGACATTAGTTGGAGGAGCAAAGGAAACCTAAGAGCACTGGACAGCTGTTTCGTCCTAGTATGGGACTCCTCAGCAGTGCGCACCCATGACCTCCACCCCCCAGGGGTCGAACCAGCGACTTTCAGGTTCCGCGGCCAGCGCGTTACCATTGAGCTAACCGCTCGTTCAGAATTTAGTGGTCCATATTTCTAACTTCTGTTAGCTCATGATATAGCGCAACCGCCACCCAATGTCATCGTTTAGTAACTGGCCTCACGACTATCAGGCTTCTGACCCAGTGGCTTAATGGTAACGCGCTGGCCGCGGAATATGAAGGTCGTGGGTTCGATCCCTGGGGGATGGAGGTCGTGGGTGCGCACTGCTGAGGATTCCCATACTAGGATGAGACAGCTGTCCAGTGCTTCCAGGTTTCCTTTGTTCCTCCAACTGATTTCAGTCTACGATGAATAACAACTTGAAAAATAGAGTTTCTCTGCTTCAGTTACATATAACGTTTGTTCTTCAGATGGTGTGACATTGATTGTGAACCTGTTTGCTTTATAAATTACCAAAGCCATCACATCAAATTACAGGATAGCTTTTCGAAATCTCTTAGAGTATATTTAATACTTTTTAGTATTCAATAGTAAAATCGATAGAGAATAAAGTTATCACCTTTGTAAATAGGAGAGCTGTAACTTTCAACCTCTCAGTCTTCGGTTAATGCTACTTCGAGATATCTATAACCATCAATGTCACTATTTCAATTACAATCATTCTTCATCTTTAGTACACTCTTATTTTACTTGAAATTTCATTGCATCTTTTGAATCTGTAATTCACTTGTTTTAAGAGTAAAGTAAGTTAAATTGGTGCACCATAGTGATCTTTGTGTGCTATATTTTAATAAGGTGTAACATCTACAAAAACTTATTATCATTATTACTTGTCCCTTGGGTTCCTAGTGGAACATAGGGCTTGAATAGCACGTCTCCACTGCACTCTGTTCTCTGCAGTCTTCGAAACCTGGCCCCACGACTGCCCACAAGCTTTCATTTCCTCCTCACATGATATCCTCGATGTCACCATCATCTGGGATGCCCAACTGGTGGTTTCCCCTTTGGATTGCACACCGAGGGCGTGGTGTGGAGCATGATGTCCCCGAATGGTCTTCTCAGTGTATGCCCAATCCACCTCCCCTTTCTTCTGCATACTTGTTGAGTGATGGGTTCTTGGTTAGTTCGTCGCCAGCCAGCCAGTCAGTCAGCCAGAGTTGCTTGTTCGTCATTCTTTCTGGCCATCCATCTCATCTTCAGTATTGAGTGAACGTAGGTGGCAGTTGTTAATGAATGTGTGTAGTTTGTTGGAAGTGCTTTAGGAGACGCACCAAGTTTCTGAAGCATATAGAATCACTGACTGATTTGACTGGATTAGTGTTGAAAATCCGGATGTTGTTCACGCTTTATGCCGAATGCAGAAGATCTCCACACTGGTTTCAGGTTAATAAACACCTGTCTCCCTTTTCGGATCCTGGCTTTGACATCCTCGTCTCTGCCGCCTGTAGTTGAAACGATGCTGTCTAGGTAGGTGAAAGAGACAACTTCCTTTAGGTTTCTCCCATTGATGGTGATTGGAGCTTGTTGTTGGTGGTGGTGGTGTTGGTTGAGTATCTTCATCACCTGTCTTCTCTACGTTCACCTGAAGGAAGTGCCGTCTAGTCTGCCGTGTCTCTTCTGTCAATTTGTTAGTTTTTTTCCTGTAGATCTTCACGTTTGTGTGATATTAGACACAAGTCATCGGCGAAATCCAAATCTTCTAGAATATTTTCCCCGGTCCAGCGTATCCTTCTAAGTATCTCTAACCATGGCTCTTAAATTTTGTTGGTATATAGACATCCACATAAAACGAAAGAAATTAGGGTTTGGCGTTCTACTCTACTCTCCAAGTTTCAAGCTGTAAGAATAGTGATCGTGGACGTGTTCTCCACTCTTTAAAGTCAAACATTCTCCAGAAGCATCTTGATCGATAGAGTTGAACGTTATTTTTAGGTTAAAAACACATACTTACTATAAGGTGCTGTTAAATGTATTTGTCTCCTTTGAGGTCGACGAGGTTGAGAACTTCATCGACGTCCACACGATCAGACTTAAAATCTGTATATGATTACGGCCTAATTCATATGAACTAAATTTGACAAAGTCAAGAGAAAACATAATTCTTGATCGAAACAATATAACTGCTGTTATTAATCAGGTTGTGTTTATGAACAGCACGATAGTAAACTAAACTGATTGAGTTACTCGCCATATTCCTTCAGCTGACTAAAACCAGACACTGAACATCTATGTAAGTAGCATCTGTCGGGTGGGAATAGCTGGCTACTGTCATAAAGTTATCCACTTAAATTTATGCATAGAAATTCAACCATAATTAGTCTCGCATACATAGAGTAATATTTGTTGTTTCACTGTGTGATACATCTGAATAAAAAGAGGACAAAACGAGATTACAATCTACCACAGTGCCCGAACTGTGTATCACTTCAAGAATCAAATATTAGGATGGGTTGGGGGAGCCTAGAACCTTCACAGTAATGAATAAATGGTAATTTCATCGTTACTGTCATTTGTTTTTATGATGTATGTACTCTTATTTAAATGCTTTGTCATTATTATCATTACTTGAGAATGTTACTTAAAGGGTCATCATCAGTACCAAGATAGGACTAGGCAATACCGCATAATGGTCCAAACTGTCACATCTAATATTAGCACAACAAATAGCATAGTAATATGATGAAAGATGACCAAAGGAGGAAAAATCATTCAAAAGCAGAGGGGAAACAAGAGTGAGAAAATGCTGAACTCAGTAAAACGATTAAGGTAAAGATGAAGTATGAATGCATCTGCGCCACTGACATCTATTCTGAGCCATATCACTTATAATCTCCAATCACTGGTTTGTGTTATCACGCGGACCCCAACCAGCTCGTCTGCATCTTCGTATATGGTTTAAACCAACAATCAAGGACTTCATGCATTGATACCATGTTTTAGTCTGGCCACCCTTAACCTTTTTCAGGCTACAACATACTTCAACTAGCAATGCACTACAAAGCAGACGGTGACTAAGTATACGCGACACATGTCCTTGCCACCTCAGTCGATCTAGGTTCACGATCTTATCAGCTGACTTTTCTTTTCTCCCTGAAAACTCTGTTCCTGACTTCTGCGTTACTGACGTGGTGACACCACGACATATGGTCGATGCTACGAGGGCGACGATAGTCAAACACCAGCAGCCTTCTTGTGTGGTCATGTTCCATAGGCATACAGTAGAACTGCAGTACAGTACATTCTACACAGACAATCGATTGTCGTGGCAGTGCCACAGACGCCATAAGCTTGTAGAAGCCAATGAAGCCTTCTTTATCCTTGCAGAGATTTCGTTGGCTACTGATTTACTAGGGCTGATTCGAATTTCCAGGTAACACACTCTAGCTAAGCTATGGGGATATTGTGACATTTACTTAAAAGGTAATTTTCACAGTATCACTATGCTTAAATGGAGGGTATATTTTTAGCTGAGGTTATAATTGACGGGATTTTCAACGAAATATGTGTCATTATATTGACTGAAGTTCCGACGGAAGTTCTTTTATTTATTGAGGCTGTACTAATCTTTCTAGCCTAAAGTTGAACGGTTGGCGAGTACTATCTCCCTTTTTGATTGACTGTTTCCAATTATTTCTGTTTGACGTTTTGTAGTTACCTAAGTTGATGAAGCTGTAAGCATTCACTATATATTCGAACAGAATGTACCCTCTAAGAAGAACTTGAATTTCTTACTTATGTCTTAGGTTGTGTCGACCAATCAGTGTACTGGCTAATTCTTTTTGTCCGCTTCGAGATTTCTTTATCAACCATTTTGTTTGCTTAACATATCCTCCTGAAAAGTGGAGTAATGTATGTACATAACTACTACTGCTTATTTTTAAAGTTGGTATCTGTGCAAACTGGTTGCGAAACACCATTTAACATCTACTTAATATGGAACTCCTACTCCTCCTCTAGAGCTTTGAATCCCAGTTCTCATTGTTTGAAAAATGTATTTTACATTATAAACCGCACTACTCGATTGGATTGCAAGTTAAAGTTACATATTCACTTTTAGACTGATGCAATAAGAAATATATCTGGTATATATATGAAGTTTTTCTTTGCGTACCAACTGCCTGACTGAAGTGGAAGATGAATTTTTCCAATATAAAACTGAACCTTCAAGACATCATCATCTTTATGAATGATATCAACCGTAGTAAGAAGTTTAAGTTAGGCAAGACGACACTTAAGTAGGTAGTACTTTTAAAAATCCATCTTATTGAACTGATAGTAGTGATCGATCTCTGAAAGTGAATAATCCATATATTCATAACCAGGACAAACTTTAGATGTAAAAAGAGAGAGAGAGAAATTGTCTGGCTTAACCACTAACTTCAACTTCATAGTAAAGATAGATAGACCATATCAGGAAGGTTGCCAATTCTTCTGAAGCATCATATCCTTTGGCAATGATTACAGTATGGTATGCATATATTCACATTCATCAACAACTGCTTACGCTCGCTACTGAAGATCAGATGGATTGCCAGAAAGAATAAGCAACAAGGAACTCTGGGAACGAACCAACCAAGAACCTATCACGCAACAAATATGCAGGAAGAAGTGGAGATGGATTGGCTATGCACTGAGAAGGCCGACTGAGGACATCACGCGTCAGGCCAGGTACTCGAGTGGAATCTCCATGGGAAGCGACGAGTTGGACGTCCAAGGGTGACATGTAGGAGGTCATGTGAGGAGGAAATGAGAGCTTGTGGGCTGTCGTGGAACCAGGTTCAAAAGATCTCAGAGAACAGGATGAAATGGAGACGTGCTACTGAAGCCCTATGCTCCACTAGGAACCCAAGGGACTAATAATAATAATAATAATGCATATATTCACTTAAGTATCAATCTTAGCGTATATAGTTTCATTCTATCTAGATTATTTATAGGTAAACATTTATATTTTTATATTAAATTGACACTATTTTATCTTCTGTTTACAGATGTGATGAAATTTGAATGTGTCTTTTTTTGTTTTCCAGCTCTATAAACTTTAATGAATTGAGAAGAAAGAGGAGGTATCAATTTTGTTTATCATAATAAATAATTTCATCATTTTCAGTGATTCTCCTCTTTTATTCGTCTATTTTATTTATCAGTTATCTTTTTTGTTCACTTTTCATTATAATTTATATTTATTTAACTGTCTATTTAAAGGAATACTTTGAATAATATTAAAAAATTGTAATATTGTACAGCTATATTAAGATAAGTTCACTTGTATTACCCGGGTAATATATTGACACTTTTTTTCGTTTAGTTTGTTTTTATTCATTCCGATTTTTTTTTCTACTGGGTGGAATTAATAACACAGCTGAGTTATTAATTTTTGCGTTTTTTTTTCTCTCTCTCTCTCCATTATTCACTTTCATAAGTATCATTTTATTATTATCTTCTTGTGAGATTTGTTTTACAATCTTTTATTGTCTTCTTTTTACTTACTCTTTTGATGATATCAGTTCTTTGTATCTTATCATCATTATCTATTGTTTATAATGATCATATCATTTGTTAAGCAGCTTGAATGTGTATTTACTTACCTGTCAGTATTTATTTGTTATTTTTCTATATTGATATAAGTTAACAGGGTAAAGTTAACGATAGTAATACATGCAAATCAGCTGTTCTTCACCTCTTTTTCTTTTAGTATTATTTAACTCTTTTAACATTTATCAGCTGTTTGTAAACCATACGCTATTTTAGTATATTTCTAGTCATTAAAAAAAAAATCATTATTATACTTAGTTTTATGAAGAAATTGTTAACTATTTCTTTCTTAACCAATTCTTTCGCTATCATTTATCTTTTCCAACTGATTGATATACAAATAAGGTTAAAAATTTAATAATATTCAACTGTTGGATAAATTGTTTTTCTTTTCATTCCCTTTTTTTTCACTTTGCTGAAATATATATATATATGTGTGTGTGTGTGTGTGTTTGTGTATATATCACTCCACTAATTGGTCACTGTGTATACGTTGTAGTGATTGGTGGATGTGGGAGACTGTTCTACTTTTTATGATGATGTAGTCTCTTCAGTCATAGATTGATAACACTTTTAAAACAAGTAACTAATGTGGGGGAAAAAGCAGGATTTAATAAATTCATAAATTTCAGTAGTATCCGTTAGTTACATACTCTACATACTTGAAATATTTCATGTTATTGGTTGCACGAAATCGAAAATTACTATAAAAGGGAGCAAACTGAGGACGGGTTACTTCGTTGTCATGATGAGCAACGATACCGTCCAAAGTATTGTAACCGAAAACGAATCAATCTTTATAGGGCGTTTTTTGTCTCGCTGCTTTTCCCTCCTTAGAGTCTTTGAAGGTCATGCTGCAGGAGTATGAGAAACAAACGTACACACACTGCGTTGTGCGAGATTCACATTTGGAAGGTGGGCGAAGACCTTACATTAAGTTTGTTTGCTTTAAGCCTAGTGAACGCGTGGTGAGAAGGTTTCTGAACAGTTACACGGTGGCTGTTAACTCATAATCATCCCTGCAATTCACTGCTTTATGACAATAGTTCTTAGGCAGGGAAGTTGACAGGAGCTGAATTAGAGAGCGTAAAATCATTGCTAATATCCTGAACGGCTGCATTTAATATCGTTGATTTCGTTTATGTACACTATGGTAAACGATTGGATAGTCAACATGTGTTCAATTTGCGCTATCGCCTCTTCGCTAAGTGTAATTTGACCGGTAATTGAATTTGCCTGTGTAACGATGTGGTTGTAGGCAGTTATGAAAAGTTACAGGCGCATATAATCAGTCAAGGTGGGTCAGTATCCTTCTCTGTCACAGAGGGTGGAGATCTGAAATCATATAGAACAAAGCATTAGTCCTGGAGACCTCTGTAAGTCACTGAGATCAATGTTAGATCATGAATCAGCAGTAGTAACAAGGTATCCGCATAGGAGCCCATATACCAACAGAGGTCGAGCAATTCAGCTCTGTATAACAAACAACAGGAAATTACAATTATCATAACAATAATTACACTGAATACATTTTGAAACAGGCTCCGTGAAATGTTACACAACATAGTCAATACATAATTAAATTCTCCCCAAATTTTAAATTCATTTTGGATTTAATCTTAATCTGAAGGCGATTAATTTCTTAAACCAGAATTTATGTGACAAGTAATGATTTTATAGGCAGTTCTAGTTTTGGCGCTCTGGTAATTTTGTTCTACCTGATAAATGTTGATGGATAGTTATTTTCCAACAAAATATCGTTCAGTGTTCCTCTTTCATCTTCTAAAGTATCCTCTGTGCATATTCGTTGAATTCTGCTGAATAAGCACCTTACTAACGTTCGCTTGTACTGAACTGGGCAAAAGCTATGCTAATTCAGATATTGCCCTGTCCATGTAGATTTTCTGTAGACAGATCGTTTTATGGATCCATCCTGCTTTCGACTAATTAATATATCCAGGAACGGCAAGCAATCATCTTCCTCTCTTACACATGTCAAGGATATGCTGTTCTGTACTTCGTTCAGTCGGTTTAGAATTGATTTGAGTTTTCACAAATAATCAGGATATCATCAACATATCTTCGATACAGATGGGCTTGATCTGTTAAGTTCAGGCAGAACAAAATTACCAGAGCGCCAAAACTAGAACTGCAGTCAGTCCCAAAGAAGGATGTCTTCATCAACCTTCCGTACAAATGTGACTCTCAGAGTGCAATCCTTAAGCAGAGACTTAACGCTGCTGTTAGAAGGAATTACTATGCAGCTAGGGTTCGAGTAATCGAAACCAGGAAGCCCGTATATTCCCCCAAACCCTCACAGCATATGAACGATAATGTCACATCCCTTTGTATCTACCAATTTAAATGTATGTGTGGTGACACATACATAGGGAGGACTAATAGATCCATGCAAGTAAGGGCCTCGGAACATATTCCAAAGTGGCTTCAGAAGCAAATTAAATCACCTGAACCGATAAATGTTGGTAGCAAACGTCCAAGCTCTTCGATCGCTAAACATATCGTTGAGACAGGTCACAAGATTGATGTGGCTACTTCGTTTACACCTATCTACAAAACATGTTGGGGAGGGATCCTGAAATTTGTTGAAGCCTTAGCTATTAGGAAGTTGAAACCACCTTTATGTATTCATAAACAATTTGTTGTCACATTAAACCTTCCTTGGTAAATTCAACTATTGAAAACCAAGTTCGATGTACTATTATTTTTCGCTCTATTGATTTTCATTGTTATTCGGCCTTTAAGTCAGCCTTCCTACCTGACCCCCTTTTTATTTTCTCACCCCTTATCTTCATGAGTTTTTATATAAATACCTATGACAAGTACGTGTGTGATCAGATAGTTCGAAATGTGTTGCGCAAATACATTACACGGTTCAGACAATTTACGTCTGCTTATTGTTTTGTCGAAGTTTATAAAGGGAACTGATTGTTTTAAATTACAATCATTTTTCACTTCAAATTTCTTTCTTCCACCCTAAATAAATTGGGGGGGGGGGGAGAATTGTACTGTGTAATAAACGTCAACCCAAAAGAACACACATAATGTAGACAAGATATCGATCTAGGTGTAACAAACATAGAAATGAACAGTTTTTACTGGTAAGGTGGTAATGCAAAGGGTAGAAATGGATGTTAGAAATTGAATGGATTGACGATAGGTTACATGATTAACTATGAGTTTGCATAGTAGTGGGTTTTAGGCAGGAACATAATAATAACAAATAATGTTGACAAGGGGGTGAGAACTGAATCGATTGGGCATAGATCACGTCATTCAGAGATATTTAGTAGTACTTGTGTAGATATAATAAGAAAGCCAGGTGTATATTGAGATGATTAAAATCATGATAACAATGATAATAGGAATAAAGTTAATTAGGCGAAACAAATCAGGGAAGGAAAACAAAATATAAGATGAGAGCGAAGAGCAAGTAAGGAAGATTGAATCTGATTAGACGCCGTTGTAATTCTTATCATAGCAGATTCAAATTGACTAACATTTCCTTCTGAATGCAGTGGTTTGGTTTGACAACTCGAATTGCGTAGGCTTCTGGAGTTTCAAGCAATTTCATATTTTGTTGTCTACTGATAGCCGTGAAGGACTTACAGGTATCAATATAATGCCCATAATCCATTAGGTGTTTCGCTATCGAGCTTCTCGAAGTCTTCTTCTCGGCATGTTTCAACCATTAGGATAGAAATAAATCAACGATAAGGTAACCCAGAGGGCTTCCCATCGCGACTCCATCAGTTTGGCGGGATAACTGTCCTTTGAACTGGATGTTCTTGGTGCATAGGTTTAGAAGCTTCCTGAACTCGTTTGTTGGGATAGGAATATTATCAGCTTATCGACAAATAAACTCAATGGTTTCATCAACTATTACATTTGTGAAGAGAGATACAGTATAAAAATGAAGCAAAATGCTTACCATTGCTATTGATTCCGTAATGCTTCGAACAAATTGGAAGATTTCAGAAATGGTGTGTTCTCCCAGACGTTTGTGCGATGGCTCGGTAATTTCGCATAACCATTGAGTTACTTTGTGACAGAGTGATAACACTTTGTTAATGAAGGAATCGTAAGTGAAAGCATATGGAAAGTTCTCTGATTGGTTGATTAGTGTTCGTGTCAAACATGACACTGATATTTTCTGATGTGATTAGTGTAATGATAACTTCCTATCGAACATCATCTTCGTATATTTACTTTTTACTATAATACCAACAAGTTAGTGTTTTACAGTAGCTCAAAGCACACTATGATTTCGCTGAATGAGGTGGGCAGTGCTGTTTAGTTAATAGTAAACATTTTTTTAGCTTGTGATTACTCGCTTCCGTAACGTATCAACCTTCAGCTTTGGAAGTCATCAGATAAATATCCTTGCATCCGGATACTAACTAAATTATCGGGGAATATATAAGTTAATCTTTTAGATTTAAGTGTATGATAGAGCAGTTCAGGAACTTTATTTGGTCCGGGTTATTATTTCAAAATATATCAATTCGTTTTAAGCTCAAGATAAGAAACAATCATCTCATCTTCGTTTACAGTAATCAGTGTAGATATAAAACTGGCCTCCATTGAATGGACAAACTGTTCTACTGTACAGTCTACGCCCATGTGCTTCCATACAAATAGACTGTCCACCTTATTAATCAAACTGAGGTAGTTGTAGTGTGGCACACTTGTGTTATTGATGCTGAGTGATGATTGAAGTTGAAATAAAAACCTAGGTTACAGCTAGACTCAGGCCCATGGCATCCAGATTACTGTCACCGTGCTCTACCAACTGCTGACTGGGCAGTTGATGTTATTACGATGAACGAATGGTTACTTGTCACTCATTCACAAAATCCTCGGTGATTAAAGTCAACAGCTGGTAGGCAACTGGGTCTCATACATGAGTTGGTAAAGTACCGGATCACTATCCATTACTACCATAAAACTGAAACGATAGGCAATATATAAGCATTCTCACGGGAACCGATCATTTCAGTTTAATCAACGACGGGATAATACAAGAAACGATAAAAAAGAATACCAATAACAGATGATAGCTAGGAATGGAGCTCGTTGTGTTTGGAACCAGTAAGCTGGATCAACCTGCCTCCCAACAAATGATTTGATCCCCATTAAGACTGGAATCTAGCACCTGTCCTCTCAAGCGCGTCATCCACTGGGCTACTGGTTCATAAGTAGCCACTTCTTGTACGACAGATTTAGTTTGATTTTATAGCTCAAATGGGATGAAATAGTCTTCATGGATTTCACTGCTAACCAGTAATTTGTCATTGGTATCAAACTTAAACTGTTAGCAATATCAAAGGATCCACACAGTAGTCCGTCCATATACCAATAGTGCCTTATCAACTCGATGTAATCAACCAAACATATTGTTTAAATCAAACGCATTGGGGTCAT